CAATATTCGATTGCGTTATATGTAAAACTAGGGATTATTATTATTTTTTATTTTTTACTAAAATCGATGAGAAATATTTTCAAAGTTATTTGTAAAATTTTTACAGTGTAACTTTAGTTATATGAAAATAAGTTGGCAAGACTATAAGTTATGAACGAACCAATCAGATATAAGATAATAGATTTTGGATTTTGGCGCGAAATTCATTCGTTCATTTGGTTATATGGAGTTTTAGCATTATAGTTCGTGATGAAAACCTTAAATCTAATTCCTAACCTTAACTATCAACTGTAAATCATAATTATAATTCTTCACACCGGTTTGTAATCCTCATTTGGTCCTAGTTATTAGGTGGACACTCACAATTGATTGATCACTGGGTGGTGATCAATGTCATGCTTGTCTAGTCCTTATTAGTGCAGATCGAATGCTATCGATCATGTTACAATATGGCCACCAGTCTAGGTGACTCGACACTGCGGGCACTATGTATTGAGATTTAGATGGTGGTTGGAAGTAGTCAACAGGAAACCCTGGACCCGGGTTTCGTGCTCAGTGGTGACGTCTCTGATTGTGAAGCTGAGTGACACGAGATTGGATCCGCCAGGGAGCACCAGTTCCCTCAAGATTACAGGTACACCTTGCTGACGAGTGCCAAGTAGCACGAAACCCGGGTCCAGGGTTTCCTGTTGACTACCTCCAACCACCATCTAGGTGGACACTCTCAGGGTCACTTTAGCGTCTCTAAAAGATTGTCCATAAATTATAGTCTCACCGGTTATATTTGCGTATAATCCACTTTTATTACACTTTTTTTATTATTAGTTTATGGTATAATTTGTGCATAATGAGAATTGAAAGTGAGAATTAGTTAAGTAAATAAGCATAAATTTGATTGCTGATTAATAAATAATCAGGTTAATACTCTTATATCTTTAAGTGGTTGGTTGCCTTAAAGTTGTAATGTCAGTCGCTATGTCAATCCCACATAGCTTATTCTAGCTTCCGAAGAAGCCAATTTATTCATTCTTCTTGATTCACATTTTGACCTTGTTAATTATTCGCTTATCAACCTTGACTGTTTTTATGTAAGCGCATGTGTGTGTGCATGTAGTGTCAGTTATTATGGCAAGCCCATATACCTTATTCTAACTTCCGGACATCCTATTTTATTCATTTTACTTGAGCCATACTTTGACCTTGTTATTTATTCGCTTATCAATCTAGACTGTTTTCATATGAGCGTATATGTGTGTACACTCCATATCCCATGATTCATCACATGTCTGTAGTTTATTTTGTCTGCCTATAAATACTGAGTAACGCTTAATTAAAATGGAGTTGGCTTCCCAGCCATCTTTCATACGTGTCATTATTGCTTTGCTGTGCTTCATTCGCTTTTTTTTTGATTTGTGAATACATATATTTCGTACATGAAGCGAATGAAGCATAGCAAAGCAAAAATGACGCGTATGGAAGATGGCTGGGAAGCCAACTCCGTTTTAATTAAGCGTTACTCAGTATTTATAGGCAGACAAAATAAACTACAGACATGTGATGAATCATGGGATATGGAGTGTACACACATATACGCTCATATGAAAACAGTCTAGATTGATAAGCGAATAAATAACAAGGTCAAAGTATGGCTCAAGTAAAATGAATAAAATAGGATGTCCGGAAGTTAGAATAAGGTATATGGGCTTGCCATAATAACTGACACTACATGCATTTCGTATCTTACTCATCACATGTCTGTAACTTATTTTTGATGTGATTATAAATATGGATTCACGCTTGGTTAAATCGAATTGGCTCACGTGCCTTCTTCACCACGCATTATTTCGCTTCACCTTCTCTTCGCTTTGTTTTTCTGGATCGAAGGTTGTATGAAATACACGTATTCCAAATTCATTCTCATATATGACTTATTTAATTCCGTTATGCACTCACACGATTTAAGTCTATGAATATATACGAGGATTGGAGATATAACAACCAGCAAACAATTTAACTGGAGTCAAATACCGGGCTTCTAAAAGGTCTATGAATGTAATTACTAAGTCATGCTAGTTTGAATCACACGGAAGTCGCCTTTTTTCTAAGCGTTGAAGAATATGAACTGCTGATAACTGACAATCGGTACAAAACCTAAATCAATGTCTTCTTGCTGATTGATTCTGGCAGAATAACATAAATTACATGATACAGTGGCTCGAAAGACAGGTCTCACGCTAATGTTTGGATGATTATATTTCAAGGGTTTCTGGAAGAAATATGATTGTCTACCTTCTCAAAACACGGATATCCTTTAGTAATGATGTCTGTTACCATAATAAGAAAGTGTGTCAAACGAATGGGCCTTCTGTCGTGAAATATGCTCAAGTTATCTTTAAAAATAGCAACAAATGGTGCTCACAATGAGTCACTCAGCTGTTTCTGAATATCGTACATCTATGGGTAATTCTTAATGCTTGATTTGTAGTTGTGAGCTGGTTAATTTAGTTTTCATTATTAAGTGTAAAATACATAGAAAACAAAAGCAGTAAGTTTTAGTGATTCAAATGCAGACAGAGTATTGTACTATTTGGCCACCTGAGTAGCAACCCATGATGTTGCATTTTACATCACGAACGGATCTTGGTTAGACAATTATTGAAAACTAGGGAACTTTAGTATCTATTTCTTCTGAGTATGGGACTCGATCGAAGTGCGCATCCATAACCTCATTATAAATCAAAACTAGGAACCACCTAACCTTCAGACTATCAAGTCGTCATCCAATAGTTTTACGTTTCTAAACACCATAAAGTAAACTATAGAGATTAACAATCTCCACAAACTCTCGACATCAACCAACAATATTCCCTGTTATTTCCTCTATGTTATTATGTTGATTAAATATAATGAAATTGCTTGTAAGTACTTAAACCTAGATGTTTATTTCTAATCATTTGAAGACTGGTTGAATAAACATTAAACTTTTTGTTCAGTTATAACATAATCAAGTATATGGCTATGTAACAGGTTGAAACTAAATTAACCAATTTACAGTTGAATCAAGTATCTATGATGGCATTGAATAACATCTAAAAACTAATTGAAATTAAAAAAAAGTGTAATAACTTTCTTTGCATTCACTTGTTTAGAAATTTTATTATTAACATGGGACATGAATATTTGAGGTTCTGCCTCAGGGTATAACAAAAGAGTTGTCCAATGAAATCTAATTTCATAACTTTTCTAGTTAACTTATATCTGAGATGAAAACTATTTCCAAATTATACTAACCTCCATGAATCTTTTTATTTTTATTTTTATATTATCCTGAGTAATAGTATTCAGTTAGAAATTTTTTTCAACTATAAAACTTCTGTTGGTTACTACTTATATGTTTATAAACAATACACTTTAATTGTTTAATTTATGAGTCAATTGAAGCTAGACCACCATGGAAAACCTAGAAACACTGGACGGCCGATTCGTCCCAGTATGGGAATCCTTAGCAGTGCGCATCCACGATCCCACCTCACGAGATTCGAACCCAGGACCTATCAGTCTAGGACGAAACGGCCGTCCAGTGCTTCCAGGTTTTCTATGGTGATTTACCTTCAATGACTCATGAATTCAACAATTAAATTACTATAATATCCACAAAGCCCCTCTCTGAAAAATAATGTATTATCCGTTATTAATCAACGTAGTAATTAATATTCATTATGCTTTCTCATTCTGAAAATTGTTAATCAGAGTAGATGTGATTCAAAAGTTTAGGTTGCAAATTGTTTTTTGTATAGGGAGTAGATCATGTTCACTTACAAGTAAATGAAATCACATTTATGTAATTTCAACATCGATTACTTTCAAGTGAATACAGTTTTTATTACTGTAATGATTTAAGAGACAGAATAAACGATTTCTTACTTCCTCACTTACGCCTGTTACTCCTCGTGAAGGAGCGTAGGCTGCTCACTAGCACTCGCCATCCAACCCTGTCCTGGAAACTCCTTTCAAGCTCTTTCAAGTTGTTATTCATCCTCTCCATATCTGCTTCTATTTCCCAAAGTAATGTGTTCTTTCGCCTTCCTCTTCTCCGCTTCCCTTCACGATTCCAAATTAGTGCTTGCCTCGTGATGCAGTTTGACGATTTGCGTAATGTATGTCCTATCCATTTCCATTGCCTTTTCCTAATTTCCTCTTCAACTGGAAGCTGGTTTGTTCTCTTCCACAATAGGCTGTTGTTGATGGTATCCGGTCAGTGGATGTTGAGTATCTTGTGTAGACAACTACTGATAAATACTTGTACCTTCTTGATGATGGTTGTAGTAGTTCTCCAAGTTTCAGCTCCGTACAGTAGAACTGACTGTCTTGACGTTCGTATTGAAGATTGTGACTTTTATATTGGTTGAAAGTTGTTTTGATTCCCATATGTTCTTTAATTGTAGGAATGTGGCCATTAGAATAAGCGATTAGCATATTACAAAAAATTGCTGATAATGGTTATTATTCAATGATCCTATATTGTGTAGATTATACCTTTGAGATAAGATGGTGGTTGGAGGTAGTCAACAGGAAACCCTCAATTCGGGTTTCATGCTACTTGGCACACGTCATCAAGGTGTACCTGTAATCTTGAGGGAACTAGTGCTTTCTGATGAATTCGATCCCGTGTCACTCAGTTTCAAAAGTCAAAGACGTCACCACTGCGCAATATCAAGTCATCTAGACTAGTGACCATATTTCAACTTGGTCGATAGCATTCAATCTGCACTAAGAAGGACTTGACACACATGACATTGATCACCATCCAGTGATCAATCAGTTGCGATTATACCTTCATATACATTGCATGTTCATTATTTTGATACAGTTCCTCTCTATCTCTTTCGGATCTGAATAGTTCAATAGGAAAATGTTTTTATTGTCCTTCTAAATAACACTACTAATATCTACTTTCAACACGATTTTCCTTAGAAATAAAGACATTAAAAAGAAAACAATTGTTTATATTATTTTCTATAATCATTATGATCATTATTATTCTATTTTTGTTACAAAATATTAATGTATATATAGGTATATGATTATAAAATGAAGTAACGTCATTTAGCATTATTAAAATACAAATAATACTCATGATAGAATTCAAATAAAGATAATTAAAGAGAGTAAGTAATGTTAAATGAACAACAACAACAAGAAGAACAAAGTGTAAAGGGATAAAATGAAGAGACTGAACACATGCAACATTGTAAAGAATGAAAGAAGAAAAAAAATTTAAAAAAACACACCAGAAAACTGTCAAGTATTACAATCATTTCTATTTTAACACTAAATAATACAAAATTGATTACAATATACATATAAATTGTAGTACTCTAATTGAATGAAGCTTATTTGAAATTGAATAATTCTAATATTGAACTTAATGTACCAACATATGAATAATGATCCTGTTTCGAAAGTGGTTTAGTTTACTATTTTAACCAAGTATTACAATTTAAATATTGAAAATGAAGAGAAAAAAGAAAAGAAAAGAAAAATCACTGATGAACTACTATCAGATTAACCAACTAAACGTTGTCCTTCTTTCTTTCTTTCTTTTTTTCCTTTTCTTTCAAATGAAGTTTGTACAAGACAAAGAATCGTTACTGTTTTCTATCTTTCTTAAATAAACCATAGAAAATACAATTTAACATTAAGTCAATATTATTTTCTACTGAATATTTATTCCTGTAAATGTGAAAGATTCATATGTATAAACATAAATGTCATCATTATCAATATTATTTATGTAAGTAGTATGAGCTTAATCAACATTTTATGAAATAATTCCTAATATTATTGATTACTGATTGATGATTATAATAATAATTGTGATAATGATAAATAATGAATGATACAATCAATTCAATTGTCTGTACTCAGTAGATAAAAACAATAGAAAAATGAGAACAAATAGTAGTAATAATAATAATATGAATATGAATATGAATACTATCATGTACAATGCTGTTTTTATCCTCTAATCTCCAATTACATTATAATCCATTTAATTGCTAACACACTATATAGATTTTCTTGAATGAAACAAATCGGACAAATATGTTTTTACACTATTGTAATAGTGATGAAATTGGAAGAACAAAAAAAAGAAGGAATTATAAACACATGATGGATACAGTGGGACAATTTAAATATTTGTTCAATGTATATTTATGATCATTGACGAAAGAAGATTGTAAGTGTTGAAATTCAATTATTCAAACCTAGAAAAAAATATATTTTATTAGTAAATGATTACATGAAAATGAATACAAAATAGAATTATAAGAAAAGATAGATAGTGACTAGATGTGGAATACAGGAAGTGCATTTCATCCTATCAGGACTCAGTAGCTAAGTGGATAAATTGATAGTGTTTGGACTGAATGGTACTGGGTTCGAGTCTCAGAATGAACATTAACTCTGAGATGCAAGTACATCTAGTTGACGAATCCGAAATGGGACGAAACGTTGGTCCTGTATTCTACTCATAGACATAATCCATCTCTGCTTATAATACTTGTGAATTAAGGCAATATCGAGGGAATCCGTACAGGATGCACATATGTCAACAAGATATTGATCAATTGCAGGCCTAAACATCAATGGGGGAGATTCTAATAAACAAATACAAAATGAACAACATAAAATATCAGAGGAGGTCTCTAATTCATAACGGCCACTTGAAAAGACAAAATGTATTCAAATATTATAATGGGTAAATATTTACCCTGTTCTCACTTTTGTTAGAAGTATTTCTAGACAATGAAATATTTTTTTTTGTTACAGACATCATAATCCAAGCGCGTTGTTCAACATTAAGATTTTGACTGACAGAATTTAATATTAAATCATTGAATTATTGTCTACGTTGTGAATACATCCTACTCTTTGTTACTTATTGTTTAAATGGATCAAGAGTTAGCTTATTATGAGTAAAATAGAGGCTTTGACAATATTTATCTGTACATTGTACTTTACTGTTTAATTTATTCGTAGTTAATTTTAATCTCTGATAAAATTTTCATGGTAGAACATAAACTATTCAGTGTAAAACTGTATTAAATTGACTAGATATCGAAGAACAATTAATGGACTTATTGTTTGGTTTTTGCTCTACATTGATGACAAAATACCAAATGCCCTCAAATGCCCTGGTACGGCCGAGAGTGGGGTGGGCCCGCCCTCCCGCTCGAAATGCTCTCACACGGCCACGCGTATACAGCCTCTGCCAGGGAAGTCCTACACACTACATTCTCGTGGCGGGGGTGTTGTTTACGAAAATGAGAGGACGAAAAGCGAATGTCCGGCGCTTTAACTGGATCCCAAACCAATGGGCTCCAGTATCCTGAGAATACAAATGGCGTACGAACCAATCGTTGGTCACTGGGCACCATGGGAATGCATTTCCTCACGATGCTCCACTGCCTTGTGGGTCAGACCTTTAGGTCAAAGGCTCGCGGTGTGGTCCTCTAAGGAAACCACCTGCTTCGGTCTGAGCACCCGGGCAGTATCACAGCCCACACACACACAAATATGGTGTGGCGCATATATATTTGGTGCTTTCTTGTACCAATATTTATTTGTTGAAATAAATAAATACCAAGCAATATTCACCATATGAATAGCTTTGTAAAGGTCATCATTACATTGTGCTAAAATTACTTAGATTTAGTTCAAAAATGATTGTTGTAATGAAAATGATAATGTATAAAACATCATTCTGTACATAACATGGTCCTTCTGAAGAATTAATATGTTCCGTTTTGATCAATGTACACCTTCAATCAATTCATTTTACTAACACTGAACGTAATAATAAATACTATTGTGTTGAATAAATACATTAAAGAACCATGAACATAGATCATAGATTATTGTTCCATAGGATCATTTATTTGACTTTTTAATGAATCATCATACAAATCTTGTGGAAATTATACTAAACTATTTAAAAAATCCAAATACAAGCTCACGTACTTTCAAACGAGTGAGTTTCCATAGCGAAAGCATTGACTAATAACCTTAAAATATTCAAACTACTTATAATCATTGTTTGGATGAAAGTCAAAAACACATTCATATTTATACAATTAGTCCAATACATTATATGCTTCACTATATCAGAGAACCTATTTCATTGACTTGTTCTAAAACCAAACGTACAACTTTAAGCTTTATATCACTATTGATATTGAGTATTTAGTAAATATGAATTATCAAAAAATTATATTTATATTCAATGGTTTATACGTCATTCTAAGTAATTTATTTACTCTGGTATGCAATAACTGATACACTAGAATATCGTGATAAGTTATCTTAAAATTCTATTATTGTCTACCAATATGAAACAACCCACTATTTTTTGATGTGTATTAAGCACTAAATGGGTATATCTTTAATAATAGATAGTTGTCTTCAAATTAGAAAATGCCCTGAAATATTAGTGTGTTATCAAATCTTTGCATATTTACACATATATCTGATAACGGGTAGTATCTAAAACATATTTTATATGTATAGCTTTTTATTAATATATAGTTAGGTAGATTTTTTGCTACAAAAGATAATATTAAACTAGAACTTCAGTAATTTTACTGGATCGTGTAAATAATGTCAAAGAAAGAATCTACTATTAAGTGTTTCCAATCTATTACATATTATGGATCATATGGCTTTTTGAGTCTGTGATGTTCTTTTAGAAGACATATGAATAGATTCTCTTGAATGCTTACTTTTATTGAGATATAAATCATCGATCTATATGAGAATATATGATCAGTTTTATTTGGGAACTATGTATGTGAAAACACTGGTCGGTCCTGTCGTCCTAGTATGGGACTCTACAGTAGTGAGCACCCACGATTACCGACACAGGATTCAAACCCATGTCCATCGGTCTCACATGCGAATGCTTAACCCTTGGACCAGTGAACCGGCATCCAACTGTGTTAAAATCTAAATTCGATCAATCGACGAAATTGCACGACAATTTTTCGTTGTCTTCGATGGGTAACTGCCTCAAACCGAACGCGGATTAGTTGGGTACTAATAACGTCAAGTACCGGCCCAGTGGTCTAGAGGTTAGGCGTTTGCGCGTGAGACCGAAGGTCCTAGGTTCGAATCCCGTGTGTAGAATTGTGGATGCGCATTGATGAGGAGTCCTGTACTAGAACGAGACGACTGTCCAGTGCTTCAAGGCTTTCAATGGTGGTCTAACATTTATCGACTCATTATTTCAATCAAAAAATTATATCATTGGTAAAGCTGAGATATTAAGTAATTGAAAATACCTTGTTAAGAGTAAACAATATATTGCTTGACCGTTTGTAAATTTTGTTAATATTTATTGATACATTAGTAAAAATGATTATTTCACACGGAAAACGCTTTACACCAACTTTCGAATTCTTTACTGAAAAAGAAAAAGAAAGTTCAAAATATAGGGTAATACTTGGCATCTTATGTTTTAATGAAATTTTTGAAAAAAAAATATTAGTCATTTCAATTGAGTTAATCAGTAACAAATCATGTCATTTTGGGTTACGCTTGAATATAAAAGAACTAACAACAGGAACGTATCAATGAGAATTCAATTTAACTGAAAATATTATCTGTAGGCAATCATTCAAGACTATAATTTATGGACAAACCACTCAGAATTAAGAGAGCAGGTATTGAATGTTTGAGTGAAATTCATTCACTCATATAATTGAATATCATTTTGGTATTATAGCTTATGTCGATTGGTAATCAAAACTTTAATCCCAATTTCTTACTGTAACATTCAATTGTGAATACAAATCATAATTCCTCATACCAATTAATAACCATAGTAAGTAGGTGAACATTCTCAAGGTGATTTAATCACAACTCGGAGCCCAAATATTGTGAAACTATTCGTTTAAATTTAGACGAAAGTTCTTATTTATAACTCAAAAGGTTATTCATAAATTATAGTTCCATCGAACGTTGAACGATGAGTTAAAAGTTTCTCCACTTCAACTTGATTCTAACTACTGTATTAAATGAACATAATTTTTGAATTTTTTGATTGAGATCATGAACCGATTGATGTTAGACCATCACAATTGAAAACCTGGAAGCACTGGACGGCCGTTTCGTCCTATTGTGGGACTCCTCAGCAGGATCGTGGATGCGCACTGCTGAGGAGTCCCACAATAGGACGAAACGGCCGTCCAGTGCTTCCAGGTTTTCAATTGTGATGGTCTAACATCCATCGGTTCATGATCTCAATCAAAAACTTAATAATCTCCACAACCCCTATACTAATAATTTTTGAACTTTTGAACAGTTCATCATTAAACAATTTCCAAATTTTAATTTATTAAAAATATATATATATAATACTTGTATCTTTGCTAAGTAATTATGCTTTGCAATCAAAAAGTCATATGTTATCTGATATTCTTACGACCCAGTAAAACTTATGTAAATGGAAGTAGATGAAGTATTTATTATGGACTCATTTCGGTTGATCTAATCCAAAGAAGAAACTGAATGAATTTCATTATATTTATAATCTTCGTATGAATAGAATTGTTTTCTTTGTGAAAAGTAAGAATGATCTTTTATTTGTTAAAATACAGTGCTATAATCTGCTTTGTATAAACCAGTGTATATTAACAACTTACCATTTTAGGTAGCATTTCTTATTAAAAGTCAACATTTCATATCAATAGACTTTCTATGAATAGCTTAAAAGTATTTTACACTTTTATTTATGATTATGTTATTCTATGTGATCCCATACGAAGACGAAACCGATAAACATAATTCATGGTGTAAACTATTTTCAAATATATTTCAGTCAACTTACTTATCATTAGTTGAAAGGGTTAGTTCAATACAAGTCCCATTATGACTACCAAGCAGTTTTAAATGAATAATGTTTGTTTTACAATTAACCGGTGTACTTGGCTGTGATGTATTAAATATACTTGATTTTAAATGTCTATTTTTTTCTTGATTGAAACGTAATTGATAACCACTTAAACTGCTTCCAGATCTGGATAGTTTAGTTGTTTTGCTTGTGTTAAGACTACTGGCAATAAGAGAGTTTGCTGCTTTGGTTGTAGTATTAGTATCATGAGTAGAGATGTTCGCCAAGTTATTCATATGATTATTATCATTCAAACTGGAGCATTCTTTATTCGATTCACTTGTTTCACTATGACTAAGAATTATATTTGTCTCATCTTTATTATCATTATTATTTGAATCGGACAAATTTTTAAAATCAACTGTAGTTTTAAAATGTCTATGACGTTTCGTTTTAGTTTTACTTTTGATATTATTCACATCATCTTCAAATTCTGGTGAAAGCAACCGTTTAAATTTCTGCGGAACAACTTTTAAATCATCATTCGAAGGATCAATGTGACAAAGGGGTTCGGCAGAAATAGAATTCTTAGGATTCTTTAGTAAATTTGTACCAGAATTAAACGGATCACCACTACGTTGAACCAAAGGTTGTACTGATGCACGGTCACAATAATCCAAAACAAGAAAACGTTCATTTCTGTTTGGAAAAAAAGTATAAAGAAATTGCAATTTAAAAAATTAATGTTGAAAGACGTAAAAACATTTAAACTGTTCAGTGTTTCATTTGGAAACGATAATAAGATGTTGTATAACCTAAATTTTAACAAATTAATTTCATAACTAACGATAATTGGTGAAAGAACCATGAAATATCAGAAAACACTGGATAATTATCTCGTCCTAGTATGTTGCTCATCAGCAGTGTGCAAGCACCATCTCTTTAGGTATCGAACTGTTAAGCCAAGACCTATTGATTTACTTATCAATGTCTAAATACCGAGCCCTCATCTTTAAACCTGAAGTTAAACCCATGACCAGTTTTTGTGATATCCTTACATATATATGAGTAGGATTGTTTACAGGCTGTTTTAAGTTCATTTTCAGTACATGTTTTCTTTCTTACGTGCAGCTATTTATTCCGCTTTATATGTTTTCAGACAGTTTATTAAAAAATAAACATACTACTAACATGAGAGATTTGTATTATTCATCACATTTGGTGAATACATGCTTATCAAATAGCTGTGATTTTTTTAATGAATTTTGCAATTAATATCGTAAAGTATATTTATTTTCACTCTGCTATATCACTAATTTTATGTTTCAATGCTGGCTACTTCCTTAACCGCTTACTATGAAACTACTGCAATTTTAAGTGTCCTATATTAAACAGATATTTTGGATTCTTTACAAATGATATAACTCGATTAGTATCAGATCTAATAAAATTTCCATGAAATAGTAACTAGATTTCACGGAATAAATCGCGTCCACTCACCCACTCAGATCATTATCATAACCTGTGTCAAGCTGATGGTATATGAAATATGGTTTAGTATAGAATGATTCTTAAATAATTTAAGGTTTATGATCACTAGAAAACTACTACCAATAACTTGAGTTCATTCGAAATGATAAATCAATTTTCTTGTAAGTTAACACAATATATGTTTTTATATAGATCAGTAGGTAACTCCGCCTGTAGCTCTTCTAGAATTACTGCCGGTCCCAAGTGCGGGTAAAGAAGGAGGGTTGGGCATGGGGTTAGCGACCCCATCCCGTAGAAGACTAACTCGCTAAAATACGCCAGCCAGAAAAAATAATTCAAACCATTTTAACTCTGCCCTGGGAGTTAAAAGGTCTCCATATAGAAGAACTATGACGCCTCATGGTGAAAGCCAACAATTTTTATAGGTACATGAAACGTACGGACAATGTGGAAGGCCGTGAAGACCAGTCAAATAGCAACAGAAATGAGGAGATACAACTTGGCAGTACTGGGAATAAGCGAAACCCATTGGACCCAAGCTGGACAACAAAGACTAGATACGGGAGGAAAATGCTCCACACACTCAGGAAGTTGCTCTAATGCTGTTCAAAGTAGCACGAAATGCACTTATAGGATGGGAATCTCACGGATCCAGAATCATCAAAGGATCATTCAAAACAAAGAAGGAGGGAATCACAATGAATATTATCCAATGTTATGCGCCCACTAATGATAGCAACGACGACATTAAAGATCAATTCTACGAGCGGCTGCAGTCAATCATAGAGAAGTGCCCAAGAAACGACCTCACCATTCTGATGGGAGATCTAAACGCCAAAGTCGGAATAGACAACATCGGATATGAAGATATCATGGGACAGCATGGATTGACTGGGAGAGAGAGACGAAAATGGAGAAAGATTTGCGAATCTGTGTGCATTCAACAAATTGGTCATAGGAGGCACAATATTACCACACAAACGTATACATAAAGCTACATGGATCTCACTGGACCACACCACAGAGAACCAGATAGATCATATTTGCGTCAATAAAAAGTTCCGAAGGACAATGGAAGATGTGAGAACCAGGAGAGGAGCTGACGTAGCTTCAGACCACCACCTAGTTGTGGCCAATTTAAAACTGAAGCTAAAGAAGAACTGGACAACTGGACAAGCAGCACTACAAATGTTCAATACAACCTTCCTTCGAGATTCTGACAAACTCAATGAATTCAAGATAGTTCTCAACAACAGGTTCCAAGCCATACAGGATCTACTGAAAGAACAAGAAACTACTATGGAGGACAACTGGAAAGGGATCAAAGAAGCACTAACTTCAACGTGTCAGGAGGTTCTGGGCCTCAAGAAGCATCATCATAAGGAATGGATCTCTACAGAAACACTGGACAGGATCAAAGAAAGGGAGAACAAGAGGACAGCAATTAACAACAGCCGAACACGAACAGAGAAAGTCCAAAACAACCTGAGTACATAGAAATAAACAAGCAAGTGAAGAGGAACGTTAGAGCCGACAAGCAGAAATACGAGGAAGAACTAGCAACGACTGCGGAAAATCCTGCAAGAGAAGGAAATATGAAACAGCTTTACGATACAACGAAGAAACAAGCAGAGAAATACAGTAAACCAGAGAGACCGGTCAAAGACAGAGAAGGCAGGCCAATCACTGAAATTCAACAACAGCGGAGCAGTTGGGTAGAGTACTTCGAGGAACTCCTGAATAGGCCGGCTCCAATGAATCCGCCGGACATCGAAGCAGCACACACAGATCTTCCCATAGACGTCAACCCACCAACGAAGGAAGAAATCACAATGGCCATCAGACAAATCAAAAGTGGGAAGGCGGCAGGACCTGACAATATACCAGCAGAAGCACTGAAGTCAGACATTGAAATAACTGCAAACATGCTTCACCTTCTATTCAAGAAGATTTGGGAAGAGGAACAAGTGCCAACGGACTGGAAAGAAGGATACCTCATCAAGATACCAAAGAAAGGAGATCTGAGCAAATGTGAGAACTACAGAGGCATCACACTATTGTTAATACCAGGGAGTCTTTAACAGAGTGTTGCTGAACCGCATGAAAGACGCAGTAGACGCCCAACTTTGAGATCAGAAAGCTGGATCCAGTAAGGATCGGTCGTGCACAGACCAACTGAGTGGATCTCGTCATTGTACATCAACTTCGTTGATTATGAAAAGGCATATGACAGTGTAAATAGGAGGACCTTGTGGAAAATTCTTCGATATCTGAGGGAAAACACGGAATACAATGGACAGCTCAGAATCAATTAGATGATTTGGACTTCGCAGATGACCTAGCCCTCCTCTCTCATACACACGAACAAATGCAGATGAAGACAGCCAGTGTAGCAGCAGTCTCTGCATCAGTAGGCCTCAACATACACAAGGGGAAAACCAAGGTCTACAAATTCAAAACGAAGAACAGCAATCCAATCACTCTTGATGGCGAAACTCTGGAAGATGTAGAATCCTTCACATAACTGGGAAGCATAATCGATGAACAAGGAGGTTCAAATGCAGACGTAAAGGCGAGGATCGGCAAAGAAAGAGCCGCATTCCTACAATTAAAGAACATATGGAACTCAAAATAAATTGAAACCAATATCAAAGTGAGAATCTTCAATACCAACGTCAACGCAGTCAGTTCTACTGTACGGAGCTGAAGCTTGGAGAACTACTACAACCATCATCAAGAAGGTATAAGTATTTATAAGTAGTTGTCTACACAAGATACTCAACATCCACTGGTCGGATACCATCAGCAACAGCCTTTTGTGGCAGAGAACAAACCAGCTTCCAGTTGAAGAGGAAATTAGGAAAAGGCAATGGAAATGGATAGGACATACATTACGCAAATCATCAAACTGCATCACGAGGCAAGCCCTAATTTGGAATCGTGAAGGGAAGCGGAAAAGAGAAAGGCGAAAGAACACATTACTTTGGGAAATAGAAGCAGATATGGAGAGGATGAATAACAACTTGAAAGTGCTTGAAAGGAGTTTCCAGGACAAGGTTGGATGGCGAATGCTAGTGAGCAGCCTACGCTCCTTCACGAGGAGTAATATGTATAAGTAAGTAAGTAAGGTAAATATGACTGGATTCTATCAAAAACTTTATTTTTTTAAAGTACTAATTTGTGATCGGTCATATCCAACCTAACCATTAAAAAAATTATATAAAAATATAACTCTTTGAATGTCTCCTGATAGCGATAGACAGTTTTTCAGAAATAGTACCTTATTGGGCACTACGAAACAATATAATTAACTAAAATCGTAGACGGTTAAGAGTTTGTTAGAATCATACAATAGAGTTCTATTTACTGTACCACTGTGTTAATACTATTTTCCATGTATTATTATTGAGAACGGTTTATTCTTTCAGAAGTTTGAAGCAAACTAACCTACATAATTATGCCAAAAAATCGTAGAATAAAATGACGTTTTCTTTATCTATATACACCATTGCTTATTATGGGATTATACCAACTTGAGTGTAATAATGGTGGAACTAATCCGTGTCGGGTAGAGATAGGTATCTACCTCAGGACAATGGAAGATGGTCGCACAATTTCGTGGATTGGTTGGGGTTAGAAATTAACACAATTGGGTCCCGGTTGAGCGATTTAGAGGTTAAACGTTCGTACGCGAGACTGAAGGCCCTGGGTTCAAATCCCTCGAGCGGGATCGTGGATGCGCATTTCTGAAGAGTCCAACAATAGAATGAAACGGTCGTCCAATGCTTCCAGGTTTTCAATGGTGTTCTAACATAAATCGGTTCATGATTTTAATCAAAAACTTACTAATCTCCACAATCCTATAGTGATAATACTATTTTACCTAATCTGTTTCTATAGATCTTACTAACATATAAATGATACCAAACTATATTGTGAAGAAATTTGATAAGAATAGAACTATTCAATAAATATCCCTCAAGTTGACTAAGCATGAATTCAATTAGTACCATGACAATGAAATTTGTTTTAACATGAAATATTACATAACATCAAAATAGCTTATCTGAAAACAAATGACAAACACTCACTTTTTCTTCTTTGTTATTAGCAACATATCATTAAATAATATTAAATAGAATGTATTTGGTTTACGAATAGTTAACTTTTGTAATACTGACATACGTCCATTTTCTGATAAACATTCACGAAGCTCACCTTCTTTAATAAGACGTTTATCACTAATTGCTATTCGCTAATTCAATGAAAATATTTGTTATAAAATATGATCAGGGATGGAATTTAAAAAAAAAAGATTCTTAACAATCCATCTAATCTTAATAATTTAACTGAAAACTGGATTAATGAAATGAATAAACACGGGATACTGGGACATCAAATGATATAGGATATTGTATAAGGTCAACTTTGATGACTGGTTAGTTATCACTGCTAATGATTGAATAATATTTGACAATATTAGGCAGTGATCGACTAAAATAATTGGTCTGAAATTATAAGGATATGTATGTGATTACATCATTCCCAGTAACATTTAGTTTAACTGAATTGACAAACCATATATATCTATTAAGTCACTTCCTTTAATATTGTTATAATATTAAACAGAGCCTTTCACTTGTTGTCCTTAGTTAGTTAAACTGAAAATAACCAGAAAAAGATTTTCAGATAGTTAGTCAAAATTGAAGATTAAAATTATATAGCACTGAAACATTTTGACGATCTGTGTATGCCAAACAAATGAATACTTCTTTCAATGATTAATTTTAATTCTGTCATGTTCGACAATATAGAAGATTATTCGACTCTTTTTGAAGGTCAACACGTGGAACCTTGACTTTAATTGTTCTTCGTAATGCGATATGTAATCTAAAACATGGATTATCTCGTCCTATCTTAGTAAAACCAGTAGGACACCCAGGTTTTAACGAAATACTGGATGATCATTAACATCAAGCATGGAATATCTTTTATCATAATGAAAAACACGATACAGAATGGTACACTGAAGATTTGAAAGGCATGGATCAATCTGGAGGAACTTAGCGCTAGTTTTTTTAGTTTTTATTTTTGTATTGGTTTTACTGAATGAAAATTCTAAATAAGTAGTACTATGGTTACATTATATGTCTATGGTTGATAAAGAGGCACATACAAGAACCAGTACCATCTAACGCCACTAACGCTGTTTTTTCACAGTCGTCATGACTTGAGCTAAACATCTTTTGTAGACACAAGGGTTCGTATTTAGAATTAGTGCGATAATTAATGTATGCTACAAAGTCATGATATTTATGGTTATGCTAATTTAGGTTATATTGGTACTTCAAGATTCCTTGATTGAACCTCTGAAAGTTATTTAGCAAAGGGATATCCGACACAGTAGAGTATAATCCAAGTTCATGTTTATCGCTTCTAAATTTTCTTGTTTTTTGCCTGAATTCTTGCAAGCGAAAGTTATATTTGTTCTACATTTCTGATTACTTTCGGAATTTATTTAACTTTTGGCTTATTTGAACCCAGTTTTATAAATACTCAATGTGTATTCTGTTCAAATACATTTATGTTGTTCATCTACAGCGATACCTAAAAATAGCCATAACAATATCAATAGTTTCAAGTAGAAAGCATAATTGACAGAAGTTGGTCAACATATGATATCCATCCTATATCAGTCAAGACAGAAATAAATTGTTCCGCACAAACATTAAAGCACAAAAATAGAACACAAACAAGTTATGTGAGATATTGTAATCTTACCTTAACATTGTCTGGAAATTCAAGAGAAGAGGATAGTGTAAGGAGTCGAGATTTTCTGTCCATAAGTTCTTTTTCAGTCTCGCTTGCAGTTAGAAGCTAGGTAGAAACATTTTAAGCAATTACTTTTTCTACTAGAAATCTTTATAGTAGTCAAATAATATTTTGAGAAAAAACTTTTACTTTTCTTATGAATGACATCGAAATTATCGGTATAGTAGCATATTAGTACAACAAAGCAATAAGCAGTAGGAATGTGTATACATTGTGAGGAATTGGCAAGTATTTACATAGTAAATAAAAATAGCCTTAAATCGTCCATTTGAATCTCTTACAGTGTGTTCTGCCTTCTTGTGTTGTCTTATCGTCCGGTCTCCAAATGTTCTGTTAACGCCGTGCCTTCGACATACTGAAATACTTCATTCCGTCTGAAAAGTTCATCGGTTGATTTGAATATTTCTATTTTTACTGTGGTCGACGAATGTTTTAACCTTAAGTAGATTGGTTAATGTTTGTTTATTTATTATACGAAATAACACAGTTTCGTAACCATTGGAACGTAATTATTATTCATTTTGACTTAACTGGAATAAATACCAATTTTCGATATTTGAGCTTTAAATCTTTTGAGTTTTATTGCTTATAATCTAAACAATGACCTTTATAATTGCTTATTGTTGAATTATTAATTCTCCGTGTTTTACTGAAGGATCTAAATTTGTGGAAAAACCAAACTCTTCAAATTTTATCTGATGCGGTTACATCAGTTATGAGAGAAACAGTATCAGTTTTGGAAGGGGTTTTGTGGAGATTGTAGTAATTTCAATAGTTGAGATCATGAGTCAATTAAAACTAGACTATCATGGAAAACATGGCAGCACTGGACAGCCGTTTCATCCTATTGTGGGACTTCAGTAGTGCGCATCCACAACCCTGCCTCGTGGGATTCGAACCAAGAACCTGTCAGTATGTATCGCTCAATTTCATGAGACAGTATCAGTTTTGAAAAATTGGTCGACATTTTTTAAAATATTTCCCTTTTAGACTTCATCATTGATCTGATAATTGATCGTGTTCAACTTACTTTGTCTGTTGTTTTTACATGAAACACCTTATTAAAAATCATTCAGCAGTTATTCATAAACTGGAAAATTCAATCACCAATCAATCAACATTTCATAAGAATGTAATATTATGAGTATTTATTTTAAAAGCGGTATAAGTCTTTAATGAAAAACATTCTAACACTATATTACTTAGCTTTCTTACAACAAAGGCTGAATTCATTATTATTTAAAGTTTGGTAACAAAATATTTGTGATTACATAATCAATTCGGAGTTAAATAATTTACATGTTTTTAGGTAAGTTTCATTTTGACAATATTGTAATGAAATAATTACATGCATATAAAAACATTATGGTGCAAATATATCAATATTTAACTTTACAACAGTAAGATCTATATTAAATGTTCAATGAATTATAAGAATCGTGGATACGAGCTGCTGAGTCCCATATCATGACTGAATATAGTATAAGAAAGATTATACTTTACAATACCACTCATTATGAGTGTAATTCTATCTACATTCAATTTTACACACACACACACACATACACACAGCTAAGATTGTGGTGTGTGCTACTTATATTGACATAAGTAGTATATGATGTTAGTCGTGAACAGAAGGTTTGGCAGCAGAGAGATAAGAGGATCGAACAGTAAAGAATCGAAACAGAATGCAATTTGTATGAAAATGCAAGAATAATGAAGTTTGAGTCATTTTGAGACAATTGGTGGACATTTTGCAAATTAAGCATTTACTTTATGATTGTTAGATTTTGTGAACAAGTCCTGTAATTTTGTGTCAAATATAATTCGATTGTCCTCACCTGTGTCCTGTTCACTACAAAATGACCGCTGAAGTAAATGTTCATTTACTATATGTGGATAAATTGTATTTCTTGTTAAAATATTTACTTGATGAACATTTGAATAACACAAGTATTTTTTTACAAGTTTAGAATGACCGTTTTGACATTATGAATAAACTGATCATTAATAGACTTATAGAATATAATTTCAAATCAAAGTAAAAACTATTTAACTCACTCGATTTAATTCACGAAGTGCAAGTTGTACATTTTCTCGTTCTCTAACACTTGGTACACGAAAAGGATGTTTTTCAAGTGTTTTATCTTTGGAATCTCGTACAACTGCATCTTGTAATCGACGTATAACTTCAACTAATAATTTTAAACGTGTTAATCTTTGCATTGGAAGTGCTAAAAACGAATTGATTGTATTTTTACCACTTATTGGATGAGCATGTAAATTGTCTAATGCTGAACGAAAGTTTTCCCGTTGACTAAAACAAAGCAAAAAAATCAATAGAAAATTGAAAGGTTTTAGTAAGCAAAGACTAACTGTTTTGTTTGAATTGAAACCAACCTAAGGATAATTCACTTGGCATTGTTTTTACTTGAATCTTCCCATTGATGTTTTAGGACTAAAATTGATCAAGTAAAAGCAATACCAAGTGAATTCAAATTCACTCCATTGCACAAGCAAGTGGATATCAGGACTCAGTAGCTAAGTGGATAACGCGATGGCGTTTGAAGCGAACGGTGCTGGGTTCGAGTCCCAGAGTGAGCATCAACTCAGATGCAGGTACATCCAGTTGACGAGTCCCAAAACAAGACAAAACGCTTGTCCTGGATTCCACTGCTAGCCACTATCCGTCCAACCTAAGGATAATTTCAATAAGGGAAGGATTATAAAAAATGATTATTTTTCAATTAAGACATTTAAATAATCAAATCAAGTTGCTGGTGTTTAGCATTATTTAAGATCACTTATACCGAATCATATTTTTATTTAGTTTTTTATAAACATGAACTTTTCCAATGGTAACATTGTTTATTTACCTAGTTTCACATAATATAACGTAGAATTATATCATCAATGAATGGAATGAATCATTTATCAGTAGTGTTTGAAATCAGTTAGGTATTCTAACAACAGTCAATATATTCTTAATATAAACTGTAATGAGTTCTTACATGCCTATATAATATAAAGCCATTTCCGAATTCATTTCAAACTCATAATTTAGTCTTATAATCACTGATTGCCATATATTCATGAAAGACTATTTTCTTGTTCGTTTACCTATTCAGTATAAAAGAAAAAAACTAATCAACAGAGAAATGAAAGATTTATTCTTAAACATGCATAGAATTTCATATGATTAATGATGTGCCTGGCGCGAGACTGATAAGTCCTGGGTTCGAACCTGCGGGATGCGGGATCGTGAATGAGTACTGCTGAGGAGTACCATACTAGGACGAAACGGTTGTCCAGTGCTTCCAGGTTTTCTATGGTGTTCTAGCTTCAATTGACTCATGATTTCAATCAGTGAGATTATACTTTTTCTCAAAAGTAAAGAATAAATCTATCAACATCAAAACACATTTAGCAGATGATATGTCGAATGCAGTACATAAAGTACTTGATTCATTGAGTTGAAGCAATATAGTTTAGATTAAGAAAAACAAAAACCTCTTTTTAAATTTAACCATTGGCACCATGTTTCATTGCAAAAATTATGTGCTCACTAGTGACTGACTTCACTAGGTATTTCCTGGGGTTCTAGTGAGAAGTAGTGACCAGTGGAGTTCAACCAGATCTGTTGTGAGATGGTAACTCACTGATGACAATGGTGGATGTGTCATTCGATTTCGTAGACTAGTTGAAGTTAGACATTTATACCGTTGGATGGCGGCTCCGTGGTTTAGAGGTCCACCGTTCGCGTGCGAGACTGATAGGTCCTGGGTTGGAATCTGGCGAGGTGGGACCGTATATGTGCACTGCTGAGGAGTCCCACAATAAGACAAAATGAAAGTGTAGTGTTTCCACGTTTTCCATGACGGTCTAGCCTCAGTTGACTCATGATCTCAATTATTACATATTTTTTTCTAATTGACTACTAGTTTCAATTATTCATTATCAAAAACCACAATGCTTAAAAGCTATTTTGAATATTTTTATGGATCTAAAGTATACCAGAAAATCCTTGAGTTAACTCATACATAAAATATAGGTTTCATCTAACTTTTATTTGGGAAAATTATATTAGCAAAAATCTGAACACTGTAATTTAGTTTATTTAACGAACAAAATAGCCGGAAATATTAATTCGATAAACTTTTCACTAGTGTTTTGTAGTGTAGGTTGCTCTGTCAAGCCCACATTGCTTATTCTAGCTTCTGGACAAACCAACTTATCCATTTTCCTCAAGCTACATTTTGGCCCTTTTTAATTGTTTGTTTGTCAACATTGATTGTTTTTATTTAAGCGTATGTGTGTGTATTCCTTATCTTACTCATCACGTGTCTGTAAGTTATTTTTCGTTTGATTATAAATATCGAGTTGGCTCATACGCCATCTTCACTGCACGTTATTTCGCTTCGCTCTCTTCTCTTCGCTTTATCCTTCTGACTTTTTATTCAAATCAATGAGTGTACAAAATATACGCATTCAAAAATTCATTCTGGTATTTGACTTATTTAATCCCGTTATTCACTAACGCGGATTAAGTCGATGATGATATACAAGGACTGGAGACATGACTATCTCAATAGCAATCAGAAACGATCCAAATGGAGTCAGATCTTGGGCTACCAAAGTTAATCATCTCTAGTTATATAATATGTAAAATAACAGAGCATATTTTCTTCATTTTACTTTTGAATTTACATAGTGTTAACTAGTGATTATATAGTAGGATAATCTCACAAATCTCATATATGAATAGCATATAAGTAAGTTAATTTATATTCGGGTCCTTGAAACTAATTTTATTTCTGAACTGTACATTTTCCAATTATGTAAATATTGGGAGGTCTTTGGGGTGTTAAATATACTTTTTAACGTAAACACTTAAAATTATGTTGTAAATGTTTCGTAAATGATCAGATAATGAAGAATGACGAATATAAATAAGACATAAGAAAATCAGTAAAACCGTTGATTGAGTCTTAGTTGGCGAAGGAACTAATGGAAGTGGACGCATAAACTAAGGTTACAGGTTCGGATTCCTGTATGAAGCAGACAGGATGTAACGCTAATACCAAACGACAAAAGGTATACAATAGATCGCTAAAAATTATTTGGTTTCATCCACTATATGATTACTGTAAACCAGGTGTACAATGAAAGAGCTGTATCTTGTCTTTGTCTTACTATTTCTAAAAGGAGATGGGGTAATTTCACACATTTGTTGTTTCAGGTTCCAGGTAGTATGTCCCACAAAGCTATCTGTACAAGAGCTGTTGAACTTGTAGATTCACATGATAGAGGTAAACTCAGGTAGCAATTCAAATGAAGGTACTTTGATAATTGAGGTATTTTTCTCTTTTGAAAAAAAAGGAACATGATGAAATCAAAATTTGTAAATGTGGAGGTGAATGCATATTCTTTACACTCTCATATATCCTAAAGATATTATGCAACGAGACACATTATAAAAGGTTGAATTGTTCAAAAGCCTTTACAGCTAAAACTAGATTACAGATAGCCAATGTTTTAAAGATCTGTATTGAATTTATATTTGAAATCACTACAATTAAAATGGTTAGTGTAAGAACAGATTTATGGCAACATTTTGTCATTTCAGCCAAGAAATCGCTTGTTGAAATCAGACACTAATAAATACCTAACTGTTCGTCGTAGAATAAAGACATATCTATTAACGTTTATTTTCTCCAAAAATGCACGCTAAACTATTCTTTTTATAAACATATTCAGTGAGACTGTAATTTATGGACGAAATTTGAACAAACCCTAAGTGACCTTGAGAGATATTAGCCAGTCGGCAAACAATCAGTATAGAGTAAAAATATATTATACAAAACCATGGAAACAAAGTGGATACACTTCTTATAAGTGGCTCAAAAACTTGTCAGGGTTAGAAAGAGGTTCTGAGGTTCTAAAATCGTAATGCATGCAGTAGAGGAAATCATCCATACGGCTACAGAATAGTCGACCTCTGGAGCCATGATAAAGTCTCAAAAACGTTTTCAGCCTCGACCACATAGCTTCAATATTGTTTATGTGCACTTCGGTTGTTGAGTGCACAAAATGCTACTTTTGGATATAGAAAAGATGCATATAACCAAGGCTATGTAGGAGTTTGTACGCTCTCAAAACATCCGTATATATATTGTAGTACCTGGCTGCAGCCAGTGTTACTGGTGCTTTTATTATCCAGTTCGCAATAATTGTCGTAATTTACCTTAGTTAAGAATTATATATGTGGTTTTCATCACGAACTGACATCAGCTATAATACCAGAAATTTATTTAGCCACATGGATGAAGGGATTTCGCGTTAAAATCCGAGATCTATTATCTTATACCTGGTTGACTCGACCAGAAATTATAGTCTCGCCGTTTTATTTCTAATAGCCGCTCAATTATCACGTTTTGTACAAAATTCCCTGTGAACCGATCGTACGTCAGCATTAAGCACTGAAGCTGGCTCCGTAACCTTGAAATCTCTAAAACGTTTCTGATTGGCTGATCATCATCATCATACATAAATTAGAGTTTCGCCACATGCTCTTAAACATAATGCTCAGAAATTTCAGTAAAAAAAAACAACAATCATAATTTACCATAGATTTCGAAGCGTTGCCATTTGATATGTTTGATTTCTTAAATAAGTAATATATGGTTCAAAATTTACACCACCAGCATGTTTCACTATTAAATCACATACTTCATTCAATATTGGCATTCGAGATTCCCATCTTGCTTCAAGATCTCGTAAAAACCTAATAATTTAAATATGCATTGAAAATGTATTTTTCTTCATGATATACATGGATGATAGTTTACTAATCAATGTTAAAAGCGTAAATTGATAAGAACAAAATTCCATTTAAACTCATCCAAGTTATCTTTCTTTCTCTCTCTTCAGTTTATTGAGTTCATCTATTTCAAGCAAATAGTAAAGGGTTTATACGTAGTATAATAATCAATTTATAACTGTTGAGGTGTATTTCTCCTATAATGACTATAATAATTTATTCTGGATAAATTTTTCTCATCACAAATCAATACTGGTATGTAGTTCAATTAAAACTAGCCAGTGTTAAGTTGTCAATTATTTTTAGCTTGAAATTTTCCAATGATGACTGCCTATGACTCGGAATGAGATATAACCTAGTTGTTTGGTGAATACTATTGGATTTACATACTGAAATAAGAATTCTGTTTAGTACTGCCTAATGTTCAAGGATTTTCTAGATAAAACCTTTTTTTTGCAATGACAACCGATAATAATATGATTCACAACAGTATTTACAAATCAGTTTAGTAAATCATATCACTAATAATGTTTAAAATAATACAGATTGAAAATAGATGATAGAATTTGTCAAGACTAGTGTTTTCTAGGACCAGGCACATATATGCATCAGTTCAAGTTGCCATACCTCAGTAGTACAACAAAATGAATACCGAATTCATAGAAGTAGTCACTTCAATGGTAGTAATATATAAAAGAAAGATTGTGTATAAGAATATAGTATACATAGTACGGGAAGAAAGAATTACTTCGTAGAAAGAAATGTATCAAGTAATTTTAATCTTACAGTTTAAGGGAAGACAGAGAGTGTATACACCTACGCCATTGTGATCAATTCTGAGACAATGTCATCCACCGTCTCCAACCATTGGTTACGATAGTCACACAGACCTCAACCAAATAGTCTTCACCTACCAACATGGCTAACACTAGAAGTTAGTGACTTAAAGGACTGATGCCAAGTTTTGGTTTGGCTGTCCCTAACTTTTTTCCAACTATCTTCAACACTAGTCAGTATTGCGCGTCGTGATAAACGGTGTTCCGGCATATGTAACACGTTCAAAATGTATTGATTATTCATTACCGAAAGTTTTTTTCTTTGATGATGTAACTATTCGCTAGGTTGTTATGTATAATGAAACTTACATTAAAATATTTTCCCTATGCCTGTTAAGATTTCATTAATTAATTTATTTATTTAACTGAATTTTTATCAAACGAATTTCAGTTTATGCTTAAGTATAATAAAATAGTTCGAAATAGCAGTTAAACATTTTGAGACACTCACCATGAAAATGAAAATGTCGATCATGAATTTGCTGTTGGACGTATTTCAGTCACGCATAACAGTTAGTAATTAGAGTAACCTCTTTGAAACAACTAATAATAAAATGAATCGAGAATGGTTTTATGGATAGATAGATAGATAGATAGATAGATAGATAGATAGATAGATAGATAGATAGATAGATAGATAGATAGATAGATAGATAGATAGATAGATAGATAGATAGATAGATAGATAGATAGATAGATAGATAGATAGATAGATAGATAGATAGATAGATAGATAGATAGATAGATAGATAGATAGATAGATAGATAGATAGATAGATAGATAGATAGATAGATAGATAGATAGATAGATAGATAGATAGATAGATAGATAGATAGATAGATAGATAGATAGATAGATAGATAGATAGATAGATAGATAGATAGATAGATAGATAGATAGATAGATAGATAGATAGATAGATAGATAGATAGATAGATAGATAGATAGATAGATAGATAGATAGATAGATAGATAGATAGATAGATAGATAGATAGATAGATAGATAGATAGATAGATAGATAGATAGATAGATAGATAGATAGATAGATAGATAGATAGATAGATAGATAGATAGATAGATAGATAGATAGATAGATAGATAGATAGATAGATAGATAGATAGATAGATAGATAGATAGATAGATAGATAGATAGATAGATAGATAGATAGATAGATAGATAGATAGATAGATAGATAGATAGATAGATAGATAGATAGATAGATAGATAGATAGATAGATAGATAGATAGATAGATAGATAGATAGATAGATAGATAGATAGATAGATAGATAGATAGATAGATAGATAGATAGATAGATAGATAGATAGATAGATAGATAGATAGATAGATAGATAGATAGATAGATAGATAGATAGATAGATAGATAGATAGATAGATAGATAGATAGATAGATAGATAGATAGATAGATAGATAGATAGATAGATAGATAGATAGATAGATAGATAGATAGATAGATAGATAGATAGATAGATAGATAGATAGATAGATAGATAGATAGGAATAGTATCTTAAATAGTTGATGTCATAATGAAAAGATTAGTATCCTTGTATACTGATCGACAAATTGTTTGAACAACTGAAACATGTTGATAGAAAGTTAACAGTATGCGTAAACATCTGGATTGTTTGTAAATAATATTAGTCGAACAGTGACAACACTTGACAGAATATTTCAAAAAACCTATATGATTTATGCAAATAAAGTTACAAAAGTAGTCCATATCCGACTTGTTTACTAATACTGTATCTTAATGAACCATATTTTTAGAATGTGCTTGAAACAGCGGGTGATCAATAAAGAACTATGTTCAAAATTATGTGTGTAATAAGGCGATTAAAATTATATAGTCAGTAGACTAATGTTATAGAATTCTCTACACAATAAATCTATTTGAATAAGTATAAAGAGGATATTATCTCATATACTTTTTTATGTTAAAAATAAACTATATATTTAATAGCTACTTACATTTCACTTGCTAAACACACAAGTAGTACATTTGAAAAGAGATGATGTTTTTCTAATGGCTTCAGTAAAGGACGGCGTGTTGTAGTTTGATTATTCGCATTGTTTAAATCTGAACAAAATTCTGTAAAGTCAGTATTATTGTTTGGGATAGTATTAGTAGAATAAGCGGTGGTTGGACCGATCGGTGTTGTATTAACTGATGGTGTACTGGGCTCACTTAATACTTGATCATTTGTATTTATTACATCTTGTTGTCCTGTAGTATAATTTAATGGTGAATAGTAATCTTTCCCTGTTTTGTTATTTACTTGATTTCCTTGAACTGGTGAATGTAGTGGTTCGCATTCGAATTCAGGAGCATGATAGAAATGATTTACTAAGACATTTAGGCTTTGATAATATGAAGCTTCTGAGGTAATCACTTCAAACATGGCCTGAAATGTATGAAAAAACTGGCATTGTAATGAATGTTTATTGATCATAAACATACCGGCTTCAGTTCAATAATTAAGTTCTATAATTCATAAACATTATATGAATATTTCTAAATTCACTTGGTGTTGTTTACTTGTATCTTGCATCTTTGCTTATGAAGCTTATGACCCAAGGCAATATTGGAGTAATCCACAAAGGATGCATATATGCCGACAAGAGGCACATCAATTTCAGTCCTAAAAATCAATGGGAAGATACAAACCAAATAATACCAAGTGAATCGAAATTCAACCCATTGCACAAGCAAGTGGATATCAGGACTCAGTAGCTAAGTGGATAACGCGAAGGTGTTTGAAGCGAATGGTACTGGTTTGGAGTCCCAGAGTGAACACCAGCTGTGAGATGCAGGTACACCCAGCTGACGAGTCCGAGAGGGGACGAAACGGGCATCCTGGATTCCACTGCTAGCCACTATCCATCTTTGATTATATGAATATAGTTGATTTTATGAATGGTAAATTTTGTACTTAAGCATAATGGAAAAGAATGGATTTTAAAAATAACTTATGTATTTCTTTTTAACTACCAATTAAGAAAATGTATGTCTAGTGTTATAAATAGAAACAAATCCGAAAATACATTTTCTAATATCTGGACAAATAGATACTCTGTAGCGGTAGATCCTAGAACAAGAGATAATTTCCCAATGACGTTAGACAGTCGAGATCGCGATAGCTTATCCATCAATTGTAAATATCAAATAACCGAAATCAATAGTATTTTAGATACTCGATGCTCTGTATCACAAATACATGTAAAAATGAGAACTATTGAATTACAACTTAACAATCCAAATGATAGGCTGAGGGTTTATAGTTTCAATAATGTGTATATTTCTATGTATGTATTACTGGAAAATTCCATACAGAGACGGACAAATGTCTGTAGCTCTACAGTTCCCAATTTTTTTATTGAGATCATGAACCGATTGATGTTAGACTACCATTAAAACCCTGGAAATATTGGATGGCCGGTTCGTCCTATTGTGGGACTCCACGATCCCCTTCGCAAGGTTCGAACCCAGGACATTCACTCTCGCGCGCGAACGCTTAACCTCTAGATCACTGAGTGTACATCCAACAGTGTTAATTTCTAACTTCAACTAATCCACGAAATCGCGCGACCATCTTCAATTGTACTGAGGTAGATACCTTTCTCTATCCAACACGGTGGTAGTCTAAAACCAATCGGTTCATCATCTCAATCAAAAACTTAATGATCTTGACAGCCCTATACTGATAATCCAGCTTATATCAGCCCGTAATGAAAACTATATGTAAAATAATTTGGAATGAAAAAAATCATTAACTTACTTCTTGTAATTGGATTTCATGTCTTGTTAAGCGTTGAAGACAGTTACTTTCTACAACCTGTAGTGAAATAATAATAAATATATATTTAGTAATCTATCACATTTAAATAAAGAAGCTGAGAAAATATCCGTTGTTAACACTTATTAATTTATCCTTATAAATCTCTTAGTAAAACACTGTCTGCTATCAATTTACCATTACAACTTCAAGGGTATTGTATATTTAAATGTTATTTTAGCTAACCACATAGTTTTTATTAAACTTCCAATACTTTTCTCATAGATGTCATAGTATTTAAAGATGATTGTTACGTCTTTTGTTCAACATTTACATGACCAAAGAATATTCAACAACAAGAAAATCAATAAACGATTGGTATAAATTCACGTGGTGTTTGTTTTACTTCTATCTTCCCATTGTTATTTAGGACTGCAATTGATCAGTCTCTTGTTGGTATATGTGTATCCTGTGCAGATTTCTTTGATATAACCTTAAGTCACAAACGTTTTAAGCGAAGATGGATATTGGCTAGCATTGAAATCTAGTTCGAGTCCCTGATTGAACATCAACTCTGGGATACAGGTGTAGTGAACAAGAACACCATTGGGGACATTCGAATTATATTTGACACAAGATTACAGGATTTGTTAATAAAATGTCCATCAATTGTCTCACAATAACTCAGACTTCGTTGTTCTTGCATTTTCATACAAATTGCATTTTTTCTCCATTCTTTACTGTTCGATCCTCTTGTCTCTCTGATGACATGCGTCCTAGATTCCACTACTAGTCACTATCCATCTTTGTTTAAAAAACGATTGGTATGAGATTTGTAAAATTAATGATTAAAGTTTCAGAACTTGTAATATAATACTTAATAACGGAAATTAAGTTTATTTCATTTAACCTATGATGTTGAGATTTAACCTGTAAATGATTGAAATAACAGTATTTTCATAAGAAATAAATGATGTATTTAACCGAATTTCAATGTATTAGATTGTTTCAAGTATAAGTAATTTAGGTTGACATGTGTATGTCTATAGACCTCATTCTTATCATTTCAATGAAACACTGACATGAAGAGGAATGATTGTATTTGTCAAAGAAATTTTAAAAATAAAAATGTCCTTTAAAAATGTCCAGTATTGATTTTATTACTAGTATCTTATAATAAGATATTTTAGTTGTCATGGCATCAACTACAGTTTAACTGATAAATACAATGATAATTGATCATATATAATTTGTCTCGATCGATAAATTTTATATAAATGATAAATCCTGGAGTTCTAGTGAGAAGCAGTGACTAGTGGAGTTCAACCGGGTCAGTTGTGAGATAGTAACTCACTGATGACAATGGTGGATGTGACGCTCAATTTTGCGGATTAGTTGAAGTTACACATTAACACTGTTGGATGCCGGCCGGCTCATTGGTCTAGAGGTTAAGCGTTCGTGCGCGAGACTGATAGGTCTAGGGTTGGAATCTAGCTAGGCAGAATCGTGGATGCGCACTACTGAGGAGTCCCACAATAGGACGAAACAACCATCCAGTGCTTTCAGGTTTTGCATGGTGGTCTAGCTTCAATTGACTCATGATTTCAACTATTGAAATTACTACAATCTCCACAAAACCCCTTCTGATATAATGAAATCAATTAAATATTCTTTATTGCTTTTATATCTAATTATCGCTTCATTTGGATATTGTTAATTGAAATATAGTAAAATTAGTAATAATAAAAATACTAGGATTATATAACAGATGTCGATTGTATACACCCCTTAGAAATTTTGGTAATTGAGTTAGGCAAAACATACTACCTAGAATTTTAAAAGCTTTCATTCGAAAATACATTAGTTAGTTGCCTTATCTCTTACAACAATCATTCGTTTCAAAGCATAAATGCTTTTAAATGTATTTTTCTCTTTCAAAACTATAAGAAACTAATGAGACTAATCAGTTACTTGCATAGTATATCAGTTGATCTTAAATAAGTACTCATTAGGTAATCAAATTATATTTGGTCACAATATATCCAGATCATTTATTTCATCTGGATTTGATTTCTATTTCGTAGAAAATTACAGAGTCTTGAAAGATCAATTCTGATGTTGTAATAAATTGGAAGTATTGCGAAAGGCCTAGGCATATAAATAATAATCCATTTTTGGGTTTGTTGTTGTTACTAAATTTGCAATGATATGGATTTTAAATGATTATCATTAATAGTCAATATCTGAAATCTAAGTTATGAAGCATTTTTATCAACTCAATTGACTTAATGTTCATATCCATAGTAAATACTTACTATACTATCTTTCACCCCCCCTCCTTCGTACTAAAGCGGTCCAATATGCAATAATACCGAGTTATAACATTTGTAACTGTAACAATCTAATTCTAAATATTTTCTTTATATGAATTATTTTACTAGTAAGTTATTATAAGACATTGCAATACTATGCGACAATATGTCCTTGATATAAAATGACTTTCATCTTTTGTTTATTGTTTACTTCTCCTCAAAGAACGCCTTAAATGTGTTTGCACCTTTAAATATATTTCATTCTACTACTAAAATTATAGGAACACTAGATACTTAATCACTGTTATTACTGAGCCTAGTCATTAAACCTCATTATTGTTCATTAGTGAGCGAATAAAAACAGATTCGATGATTTATATCTTGCCGTGGTTACTCTGAGTTACAATATGAATAAATTTACTAGTGTTAGTTGAATTCCAGTTTTATCGATTCATATACAAGGCCTGTTGTAATCTGTTCCTGAGATAGGAATCACTCCCTTCATTTGTTCATTATTTCGATGTTTAATTCACCTCTAAAAATGCCTTAAATATGTTTGAACCATTAAATATATACCATCCTACCAGTAAAATTATAGTATGGTGTGCTCTTCTCATGTGGACAATTATAAGTGGAATAACAACAGAAATAGAAGAATGACTGAAGATTTAAAGGACAACTCAAGGAAAACGTGCAAATAATGCATTTAATGTATGATTTTCATATTTTACAAATACATTGTGTCAGTTTGACTGGAAATAATCTCAACTCCGGTTCGTAATTTTGACACTACTTAGTGACCAACCAGAATGAAGCCGGGGTTATCATTATTACTGAGACCACTCATTAAAATTCTCCTCATGTAAATGCCTTAAAGTTACATCGCATCTGGTAAACATACCTAATTTTAGTAATAGTTTACCCAAACAGTAGACCATAAAACAACCTGACACATGTATAACAATAGACCTATCATAGTTTTGTTCTGTTCTCTCTGTTTCCGTTTACTTTTCTCCAGTTGTAGATTATTATGAATATTCTGTAATGGAACTGAAAATGATCTTAGATATATTGTTCATACATCATCCCCTTACACAAAATTAATGTTTCTTAACTGATAAATATATATATATATATAAACAGTTTTATATAATATGAATCGATTATTAATCATATATGATTTTACTTCAGGCATTTCTGACCAAGCAACACGGAATGCACCTTGAGCTCCAACACCAAATCGACTTGTTTTTTGACCAACACCTTCTGTAACACTTTTATTACCTTGAATTTCTCGTAAGTTACTAATTCGTTGTTTTTGTTTGAATAATTCTTCATTTTTATCATCATGATAATCACTTAAATTTGAAGAACTATCATAGATTTCCTGAAATAGAATGCAAATTGATCCATATTAATATCTTTATGAACATTGTGAAATATGTTAATAGTAATCTAATTCAAAAATAATTGATTCTGTTCAACATTTGTTCTCTTTGAACGTATTGATAATGGATGAGAATTTTGAAATGACGAATTGATTCCTTTAAGATCATGAAGAAGATAGATATGTTGAAGTTTATCAAGTGACTAGCTTAGTTCATGCAGATATTCTTGATGTTTTCTTGATCATACGAATATGAAACTTAAATAAAAGTTTATAAATAAAAGTTTGATACAAAGTTAATGAGACAGAAATGTTACTATAGTCAGTTGTTCAATAAACAATACGTATTATTTTTGATAGTTGCATATTTTCAGAAGGGGTTTTGTAAAGATTTTAGAAATTTCACTGGTTGAAATCATGAGTCGATTGAAGCTAGACCACCGTGGAAAACCTGGAAGTGACTGACTTCAAGAGATACTCCAGGAGTTCTAATGAGAAGCCGTTATCCGTGGAGTTCAACCAGGTCTGTTGTGAGATATCGACTCACTGGAGACAATGGTGTACGGTGGCGCAACTTCGTGGATTGGTTGAAGTTGGATATTAACACCGTTAGATGCCGGCTCAGTGGTCTAGTTGGTTAAGCGCCTGGCGCGAGACTGGTAGGTACTGGGTTCGAATCTCACGGGATGGGGGGTCGTGGATGCGCACTCCTGAGGAGTCCCATACTAGGACGAAACGGCCGTCCAGTGCTTCTAGGTTTTCCATGGTGGTCTAGCTTCAATTGACTCATGATTTCAGCCAGTGAGGTTGCATATTTACCAATGTATAAGCTGATTGAATCTTTTTTTATAGTTAACAGAGCACTTCTTATTTGAAGTTTAATGTTTAACAAAACTGGTCTCTGTAGATGTGATTAAACTGGTGCGATAACAGTTTAATAATTCGTAAATGAATTAGTTTATGCGGTAAAACGATATCTGTTTACTGTTTTCTTCATATTCCTTTGTTATTGACATTAAAAGAATACTAATAACACCTATCATAATCGTATCTGTTTTGCATAGAATACTTCCATTCAACCTTTGAGTTATATCAAGAAAAACTTGACAGTTTAGAAATAATTCTGAAACAATTAATCCAACTTATGAGAAATATACAAGTGTTTCATCAATCGATAAACAAGGAGCTTTTTATATGTATAAAAAGTGTGTATATCTTAAAGAAAAGCGCACATATTAACGCTTAGTATTTATTAATTCAAATTAAAACAAACGACATGATAGTTCTAAAATTGAGGAAATTACATTTTCTTGATGTGCTGTCCCTTCATCTGTTGAATCAGACAATGACAGCTCTTTATTTTGTGGAAGACCTGAAAGTGAAATAATAATAAGAAAATTAAAAGAACTACATCATATAGAAAATAAAATTTTTGTTAAAATATGTTAGATGTGAATACAACTTCATTCTGTGATGACCATTACAAAGGATAAAATAGATAATATACTAATGTGAGCTATCAGAAAACTATATAAAATATCCAACATTTCCTCATTTTCTCTCCATCCAAGTTATACAATAGATGATTGTACTTTGATGTCTTGAAATTAAATTGAAATCCATTTTTGATACTGAATTATTCAACTTTTTTCTCACAAGTAAACTGAATTTTAATTCAATTAAGATTTTATTTAAATAAGTGAAAATACCAGTGTTAAACGGTTATATTCATATTTTCTACCTACTATCATTAGTTAAAGTAGTATGAAATTTATCACAAAATTTCTAAATTTTTCACAATGCTTGTTGTTAGATGCGGAATTCTGTAAGCGCGTTTCGTCTTATTGTGAACTAGTCATTTGAATATATATGCGTCCACCGTTGATGTCCATATAGGAACAAGAAACCAGTACTTTAATATTCAAACATACTACTCATTATCTACTGAACTACTGAGCTCAGTAGTAAACAGATTCTGCTGACGAGTTCTAAATAGGATGAAATACACACCCTAGATTTAAGGACAAGCCACTTTCCAACTTCTTTTATAATGCTTGTCGCCTAATAACAATACTGAGCGAATCTATTCAGGATAGAGGTATACCATTTTGACATGTCTCTTTGATACAGGACATAAAATAGATTGACTGATATCTTTCAAGGTGGTTGACAAACAATAAAATTTCAATTTTCTTAAATTTGTCAAAGCGATTACGATCCAACGTCTAAAACTTGGTCTATGTATCCAAAAAGAAATGTTAACGAATCGCTCTTTGTCCTGGTAACATTACACCCTTATTATTGCATTATTGATTATTTCAGTTCTTTCTTTCATTCATAATTTCTATTCGAATAGATTTATATCAATCCATATCTTTGTTTATTGCCACTAATCTGTTTTCAGTCACTTTATTACATAATCATCTAATGTATGTTGACTCTATGATTTGTAAACACTAATTCAGTGTTCTAGAATTTTCACTCTCAGAGTTTATTTATTTTTCTTGTCTGAAACAAAAATGTTTTATGACCTTATTAACTCTATCGAAATCTTCGCTACATCATGATACACACATTCATCTTTAATCACCCTCGTATTAATTATAAATATGTCAATATCTGTCATGATATTGATTATAAAATATTAGGCGTTGTAAGCAGCTAATGAGAATTTAACAAAATAACATGACCTTATGTTATATTGTACTAATCTTTGATTTTACTCGCTCCAAAATAATAAAAGGAACTATGTATATATGAAATTTCTCAATATGTCAAAAGAGGCTAATATCAATTGACAGTCCCCTACCATCAAAAATGAAGAAAAAAAATACAAACACACCTCTAAATGTAATAATATTACTATTTGATATATTACTCGTAAACAAATTCTTAGTAACTAGTCAACTCTTCAAACACCCTTATAAGTAGAACTAATTCCAAGATTGATTTGTTCTTTAGTACAATGAAATACAGCATTAAGTAATCGAATAAAACCTGTATCCATAGGTTTATCCAAACCGCATAAGAGTCTATGTCGCATAACACCAACAAATTCACGATAACTTAATTGTCAATCATTATTATCATCGAATAAAGTGAACACAACACAAATTCTTAGTAGGAAATAATATAAAAATATAACATAGTGAAATTGTATTTTGTGTAGAAAAAATAAATCCAGTCAAAGCCACTATTATTATTATTATTATTATCCGTTGCTGCTACCTGTTATAGGTGACTTTTTAACAAAAATAATAAATCTGGGCAAGGCTATGATGAGCATAAATACTATGTTAATGAACTATTTTTAATAAGAATTCATTTGATATTGTTTACTTGAATCTTTCCATTGATGTTTAGGACTGCGATTGATCAGTCTCTTATTGGTATATGTGCATCCTGTGCGTATTGCCTCGATATTACCTTAATTTACAAACATTCTAAACAAAGATCGATAGTGGCTAGCAGTGGAATCCAGGATGCTTGTTTCGTCCTACTTGGGGCTAGTCAGCTGGATATACCTGTATCTTAGAGTTAATGTTCATTCTGGGACCCGAACTCAGCACCGTTCACTTCAAACGCTATCGCGTTATTCACTTAGCTACTGAGTCCTGATAGACACTTGCTTATGCATTTTTAATATGTTTATTAATAAACATAATAATAGGTGATCTTATCAAGGAGTATATTCTATTGTACTAATCATGTTTATATTTACTCAATGAAAGTGGTTATTAACCATAAAAAACACATTAATATTTGAAAGCTTTCTTATAGACTATCAATTTGAAGATTTTTTAGAGATTGTTAAACTTTTTCTTAGTTGATATATAACAAACTGTCCTTAGTTAGATGATCATTAAAACGTAGGAAACACTAATATTCACGTTAATATTAAGTAATATAATTTAATAATAAAATGATTATGCATATCAGAAGGGTTTTCTATGGATATTATAGTAATTTCAATAGTTCAAATGATAAATCAATTGAAGCTAGACTATCATGGAAAATTTAGAAGCACTGAACGATCATTTCGTCCTGTTGTGGGAAATGATCTTATTCTTAGTACTTAAATAATCATAACCAATTTTACTATTACGATTCTGTATAAAATGAAACAAAAAAGTAGTAAATTATTTGAGAATACTGTACAATTAAATTTGTCTTACAATAAGGTACAATCTTAATCATATGAATGAAACATTTAATTAAGTAATAGCTAAGTATATATGTCAAACGAATCATATGGTGTTTTCTCTATAATGATTTTATTATTCAATCTGGTTAAGGTGTATATATTGATTCATATTCTTTATATTCTAAGTTTTAACATTATTGATTTGTTACTGAAAAGTAGTATAGTTGGATTACAGTTAGTAGTGTAACTTGCTGACGAGTGCCATGTAGCACGAAACCTATATCCATGGTTTCTTGTTGACTGCCACCAACCACTATCTGATCTAAACAATTACTTTCATTTTGTTCGACGTTAGTTAGCTGAAGACACCAACAATTCTAAAACTGGTAGTTGGCTTAATATCACAGAAGTAACACCTCCTAGTGCAGTAAGGGTTGTGCGAGTACGAATATCTGTTTCCAAACAAATGTAAGCGCTTTCTGATGTTTATTGTGTTTAAATATCTAACAATTAGAATCAATCTCACGAAACAGTTGGATTTTCTTACTCTATGGATAAAGCATCCAACTATGCTCGAAATGTTGAAAAACAGTGAACCATTTGATTTCATGATAATCTTCAAATTAAGTGACTTACAATTGGTAAATAGAAATAATGATAGATACTGACATTCTCAAACATATCATCAGGCGAGTCACCTTATACACGCAAAAATGTTTCCAAATATAATAAAATCTTTTATTAAAGAATTACATATTCGTGTTTTAATTAATCACCTCAAAGTGAAGTACTTTCCGAAGAATTGGAAGTTACGTTGAAGACACAGTAGTATAGTATAACAAGAGTTTACATAAACTTAGTGGACTGAATAAAATATTGTAAATATATGCCTTATATAAAAGAAAATTCTACAACATTGACTGTGACAGTAGTTCAGATGGCCAGAAACAAGTAACTATATAGTGAATAAACGCTGATATAATTGAGTAAAGCTCATTTAATGGAATAAGATTAATAATCTGAAAGACAGTCAAAATGAAAAAAAAACTCAATTATGTAATAAATGCAAGAAGACGTTTTTTCCTAAATGTTTTAAGATGAAATAAAGGAGTATTTGTCACCAAGGTATGGAAATATCAATAACCGTCTCCTTTTGAACACATAAATCAGGTTTTTCACGCCTAATAGCAACAGCTTAACTAAACTTCAGAAGACTGCAATTTGGCTGTTTATTAATCACTTTGAAAACTTGAAAGGTATTGACCTGATGTACTGTATCCAACCTATCTGATAGATCATGATATGTTAGTACAACTCTGTTTAAAAGAAAACAATAGACCAACATATTATGATAGTCTGTCTAGTCTTTGTTCGTAATTATTAGACCGAACAAAAGTGTTATGTATATCAGCCCATATCAGTACAATCAGTCAACTTAGTTTCGATAGTAATTAGTGCACTAAAATAAATCAAAAAAACTCTCATTGTCCAGTATTCATTCTTGATTTTCAATCATAAAATCAATTTAAGAAAGATGTGCTCACCACTTATATATGCTGGTAGATCAAATAAATTTAACGATCCTGATCTGACAAGTTGTTGATTTGTTGCTTCATATAAAAATTTCAATATCGATTCATCTAATAAATGAGCAAATGCATTTGCAACCAAATTTATATCAGTTCCACTTTGATCTGAAATTTGTCCTATATCGATTGGATCACTGACAAGATTTATTGAAGTCTGCTGATCATTTCCATCATCATCACTATCATCATTATTGACATTTTGCGTTTCAGGTGTAGATTTCTTAGCTGTATTTGCTTTATTCGACAATGCAATCTAAATGAATGGTCGTAAATATTAAATATGAAAATTTAAATCTAAGTCGTTAATCATAGTTTACTTCGCTTTCTAGCAAAATGAATATAAATAATAAGTATATCACTTAGTTACTGTAGAATAAGCATGTGAGTGTAAGATTTCACAGTGGAAGTATTCTGTGTTTAAGTAAAGAACGAGGTAACATTCAACAAAAAAATAAAAAAGATCGCGTGTAGCAGGTAAGTTATTGAATGATTATTATCAAATACAATTCAATGCCATGTATACAAATCTCACTGCTAATCTAACTATAATAATTCATTTACTAAAGAACTCATTCATAAATCATTTTTTTTATTTGTTTCCGGAGTCAAATAAATCCTTCTCACCAATCTTTAGTTTTACACTTCACGCTTTTTTTTTTCTATTGCGTTCAAGTTGTCATGTATGATTGGTTTAGTATCATTAGAAGCAGCTATGAAATTGAATCATAAGTTCAGTATGAAAACTTATTATTGAATTCAATATTTTTCTTTAATCATAAATCAATAAGTGAAAATATTATGTTTGGTCCTATATGCGTTTGTGAATATTCATTGATGAACAGTATGAAAAAAACATTCTAAGGAATATTATTAAAATAATCTCTCTGAGCTGGATGGTTTGATCACTTCTATTTGAAGTTGATGATGATGATGTCATTCAGAAGAACGATGAAAACTTCACGACTAAATCATTCAATTCTCAGAACAAAACTCCTTAAAAATAATCACTCAAAATGATACAGAAGATTTGTAATTCAGGTGAATGATTTTTAATAGGGTTTTGTTCTCTGAGTTAGATGGTTTGATCACTTCTACTTGAAGTTTATGCTGATGATGTCGTTCAGAAGAACGATGAAAACTTCACGACTAAATCATTCAATTCTCAGAACAAAACCTTAAGAATAATCACTCAAAATGATACAGAAGATTTGTAATCAGGTGAATGATTTTAATAGGTTTTTGTTCTCTGAGTTAGATGGTTTGATCACTTCTATTTGAAGTTGATGATGATGATGTCATTCAGAAGAACGATGAAAACTTCACGACTAAATCATTCAATTCTCAGAACAAAACTCCTTAAAAATAATCACTCAAAATGATACAGAAGATTTGTAATTCAGGTGAATGATTTTTAATAGGGTTTTGTTCTCTGAGTTAGATGGTTTGATCACTTCTACTTGAAGTTTATGCTGATGATGTCGTTCAGAAGAACGATGAAAACTTCACAACCAAATAATCTAACTCACAGAACAAAGCTCAAATTTTTAATCCAAGTTTATAAAGAAAACAATTTTGTTAATCATCTAAATGATTATAGAACAATTTCAATGTAAAACTTGCGTTATATATATACTACTTACAAATGACATATCATTGATTATTTTTTAAATTTATTAATATGATCACTGAGGATACTCAGCATTTTATGTTATATTAATTGAATAATAATAATAAGGCAAATTGAGTCTTTTCCTAATCATTATTTTCATTTATTAATAATCTACAAGATTTATATTTCATTTGCTATCTTCTATTAAAATAAAGGCAACGAATAGAACCAGTACAAGGAGTTTTAATAGTATATAATAACCAATTAGCTTTATTGATGTACAACACATGATTAAGAATATGTTTCTAGTCATTGAATTATACATCGGAATATGTACACATTTTATAAGAGTATCATATCAAAACAAAACAATCAATCAATACCACAAAGTTGATTAATCAATCATGTATTGTTGTCCATAAACACAACATCCTTTTTATGTTAAACTTCTAGCATACATTTATTTCCCTAGTCTTAAATGTGAATACGGTACAGCAGCATGTAAATAAAAAAGGTAAATGGAAATCTAGTAAGGAATTGGTAGAAAGTGGATAAAGTAAATAAATTCCGATACTAATCAACATATGCTCATTAGTGACTGGCTTCAAGAGATATATCCTGCAGTTCTAGTGAGAAGCAGTGACTAGTGGAGTTCAACTGGGTCAGCTGTGAGGTAGTAACTCACTGAAGACAATGGTGGATGTGTCGCTCAATTTCGTGGATTAGTTGAAGTTACACATTAACACTGTTGGATGCCGGCCGGCTCATTGGTCTAGAGGTTAAGCGTTCGCGCGCGAGACCGATAGATCCTGGGTTCGAGTCCCGCGAGGTGGGGTCGTGGATGCGCACTGTTTAGGAGTCCCACAATAGGACGAAACAACCATCCAGTGCTTCCAGGTTTTTCATGATGGTCTAGCTTCAATTGACTCATGATTTCAACTATTGAAATTACTACAATCTCCACAAAACCCCTTCTGTTACAAATAAACATAATTATTTTACTATCAAAAGAATATAAGTAGAAAATAAATATTGAGATTATATCATTTCAATAAATTATAATTGAATGATTTATTTAAAGTAATATCTACCTGATGAGCAATTATTCCATAACCTTGATATAATGGTAAATTTGCAAATCGTGACTGATAACCTTGTACAATTCCATCATCATTTCTTGAATAAATATTTATTTCATTATTTGATTTTGAACTATGTGATTGTGAAACTTTATCTGATGTTAATGTTTGATTTGATGCAAACATTGATTTGGCTTCAGAAAACATACGTTCTGATTCCTAAGAAAATTAGATAAATAAAAGTGATAATCTGTAATAGTTAACACATTTACTTCACAACTGGAGGTATGAATAAAATGTAAATACTTACTCAGAGTGAAACTCTACCCATATTGGGAAATATTAATTTAATGTAATAGAATATTTCAAAGCTAATGTATTCGAAAAAAAATTCAAAACCATGTATTAATCGAACTCATTTCTTGTATTGATTGTTTGAATCTTTTCATTAATGTATAGTACTGCAATTGTTCAGTCTCTTATTGGTGTATTTACTTCATGTGCGGATTGTTTTTATATTTTCGGTGGAATCTAGGACATAGGTATATCTAGCTGACGAGTCCCAGGTAGGACGAAACGCGCGTCCTAGATTCCACTGATAGCCACCATTTATTTCTGCTTATAATGTATGTACTCATTTTTTTAAAAAATTATTCATTTAAAAACTTTCCATTGCAATGAGTATGCTTTGTAGTGCATAGGAGTTTCTTTTTTTCTAAGGTTATAGATCATTCATAACTGAAACATTGAAAACAAATTTTAATGGGCTTCAATCTCATAGATAGTCAAGATTAATAAAAATGTTTGATAAGGAAATATTTCCCTTCATATTGACTTCTGACTAGTTACAAAACGGTACACCTAAAATGTGTACCAACATACTAGATGAATGTTTAATTTGTTCCGTTAACTTTTTTGCATAGTATGTTTCAAGAATACAAAACAAAAAGATATATATTGATCTGATTTCGAATTTAACTTCTTCAATAATTTGGATGACTGATCTTTCCATAAAGAAAGTACATTTCTATATCACTTATCAGTGTTATTTCTTATGATAATGTTATCTAGGAGGAAAACAAAAGCCTCACGATTAATCCATTTAGCGTAGAGAATGAAAATACTCTGAAATCATACAAATGAGCTAGAAATCTTCTACAAGGTCTTATGTCACTTAATGATATATTATTATATTTCAGTTATAATTCGGTATACGACTATGTTTTATCAAGAATAATTACAAAAATACTACAAAATTAGCCAATGATTCTTAATCATAAAGCTAAATGTATTTAGTTAATCAGAATGTTATAAATCATAATCTCTAATTTTACCAACTTACTTTCATTGTCATCAATGCTAATTGTTCAGTATCCACAATATCACTGAAAAATTAGACAGTATATAATTGTTTTTAAGATTATATTATAAAATATAAAAGTATATAGTAAAGTGAGATAACTTAAGTTATATTAATATCAGAAGGGTTTTTTTGTGGATATTATAGTAATTTCTATGGTTTAGATCATTAGTCAATTGAAGCTAGACCACCATACAAAACCTGGAAGCACTGGACGGCCGTTTCGTCCTATTGTGGGACTCCTCAGGATTGCGCATCCACGATCCCACCTCGCGCGAACGCTTAACCTCTAGACCAATGAGCCGGCGGGCATCCAATGGTGTTAATGTGTAACTTCAACTAATCCACGAAATTGAGCGACACATCCACCACTGTCTTCAGTGAGTTACTATTTCACAACAGACCTGTTAAAATAATGATTATATAAACTGTTTGTGCTCAAGTTTAATTAACCGAACCAATATTTGCCACAAAGTTCGAAAAAGTTATTTTTGATTGATTTCTTATTTAGTACATTCCATGTAAATATAATTAAATGGGCTAAACTTGATTTCATCTATAAGCACGTTCTTAAAATTTATGATAATCATAGTTTATTAGGGTGAGAATGTTGTAGATTATATCCTGTGAACGACTGGACTATAATACTTATGAAATAATCAATGAATCGATTACAAAGAACACTTCTTAGCAATCTGTCACAATACGTTCTTCTTTAAGGTTACAGAATAGTTATAACGGAGATTATTCAACGTTTTAGTCGAAAATTCTTAAGTAATCAAGAAATGGTGCGCAGTGCGCATCCACGACCCCGCCTAGAGGGATTCGAGCCCAGTGCTTCCAGGTTTTCCATAATGGTCCAGCTTTAATTGACTCATGATATCAACTATTGAAATTACTACAATCTCCTCAAAACCCGTTCCGAAAATGGAGAATTGTTAATGTTTTTGTGACTCATATAGAATGTTAACTTGGATCAACTTATATATTAAGTGAAAATTTAAGATACATGATCAGAATAAATGTGGGTCAGGTAGGATGAAAGAAATAATGGTGAAGTTACAATTCGATCAAATGTTTATTGGAAGACTATATTTTTGATTGAAAGAAAAAACAAATAGACAGTCTTTGACTGAGATCACGAATCGATTGACGTTAGACCACCATTAGGAATATGAAAACACTGGATGGTCGTTTCATCCTAGTATGAGACTCCTCCTCAATGAGCATCCACGATCCTACATACGGGATTCAAACTCAAAACCTCCGGTCACAAGCGCGAACGCCTAACACTGAACCACTGAGCCGACATTCAACTGTGCAATCAATTCATGAAATCTCATGACTATCTTCCAGATTTTCAGTGGTGGTCTAACATCCATCGGTTTGTGACCTAAAATTAGACAGTCGTACGTTTTTTTGACCGATATTTATTGTTATTTTAACTGAAATGAAATTTAAGAAAATATTTTTTACTATGTGATGTTTAAAATGAAGGTTTGTGTTTTAATGGATGAACTTTTAAATGTCAATATTAGTAAAAATGAAAATGAAAATGAATCATTCATTTACAATTTTTATTTTGACTGTTGATCATTAGAATAATAGTATGCTATTTGAAAGTGATTTTTCATAACTCCTGTTAAGTTATTCATGCAATGATATTAACAGCTGTTATGAGATAATTTTACTTTCAACTGTAATTTGTTTCATGTGTAAATAAATAAAATCCTTTTGTATGGTATTTTGAAATAGTATCGTTGATAAAATAAATCGAGTCAGACAGTAAGCAGTTATTCATCGATTGCTTACTGTTACCCCATGTGGAGGAGAATAGGCCGCCCACCAGCATTCTCCACCCAAATCTGTTCGGGACAATTCTTTCCAATTGCTTCTAGTTGCTATTTATCCTTTTCATGTCTACTTCCAATGCTCGACTCAGTGCGTTCTTTGATCTACCTCTTTCCGTTACCCTTCACGATTTCAAGTTAAAGCATGCTCCGTGACACAGTTTGGTGATTTCCTCAATATGTGTCCTACCCACCAACCCCATCGTCTTTTCCCAGGTTCCCCTTCATCTGGAAGTTGGTTTGTCCTGTCCTACAGCGGACTGTTGCTGATGGTATCCGGTCAACAACAGATATTGAGTATCTTGGGTAGACAATTGTTTATAAATACGTGTACACTTTTGATGATTGCAGCTCTCCACGTTTCCGCTTTGTACAGTAGAACTGTCTTCACGTTCTTATTGAGGATTGTGACTTTGATATTGGTTGACAGTTGATTTGAGTTGCATGTATTCTTCAATTGCAGGAATGCTGTCCTTACTTTGCCGATTCTCGCCTTTACGTCTGCATCAGATCCTCCCTTGTTCATCGATGATGCTGATCAGGTAAGTGGAAGTTTCCACCTCTTCCAGAGTTTCGCAAACAAGTGTGATTGGGTTGGTGTTCTCCGTGTTGTATTTGAGTATTATGTCTTTTCCTTTGTGTATGTTGAGGCCTACTGATGCAGAGGCTGCTGCGACACTAGTTTTGTTTATCTGCATTTGTTCGTGTGTGCGGGATAGGAGGCCTAGGTCATCTGCGAAATCCAAATTATCTAATTGATTTCGAGCTGACCATAGTATCCCACATTTTCTTCTCAGATGTCGAAATCTTCGTAATCCAGTTGAGACAGTTACAATATCTGTATTATCTGCTTAATAACGTCTAAGATTTATTAATTTAAACTGAAAAAATCTTTTACTATTGCCTTTTCTAGAAATAAATTTCATTCTCCTTAGATAAGCGATTCATAAAACGAATTTATTTTTGAAAATATCACGTTGATATCGACTGATTCATCTGCTTATTGCTTAAAGTATGTACACTGTCATAATAACAAGTCTAACTAAGACCATCATTATTTAAAGGTGATAAGCATTAGAAAAACTCGATAATTCTCATTCCTCCTCTATTGGATGCCTGCTCTGTGGTCTAGAGGTTAAGAGTTCGCGCGCTTGACCGATAGGTCCTGGGTTCGAATCTCGGGAGGTGGGATCGTGGATGCTCACTGATGAGGAGTCCCATACTAGGACGAAAGAGCCATCCAGTGTTCCCAGGTTTTCCATGGTGGTCTAGATTCAAGTGACTCCTTAATTCAACTATTAAAAATTCTCATTGAAATCATTATTTCACTAATTTGATTACTTAATTATTGTACCATTGTTTTTTGAAATTGTGAATAAATCATCATAGAAAATTTCTTTTTTCCTCTAAAGTGAATCATATAACTCGAATCAGATATCATTGGCATTGAATTCAATATTCAATATTCTTCTTATGATTCAAGTGTCATGTAATCGAATCAATGCTTCATTTCAGTTTAATTCAAGCATAAATAGTTTACTCAGTAGGGATTTCAGTTCTAAATAAGTAGCATATTTGGTTTTTCGAGATGAAACTATTCAAGAGATATTCACTCCTTATATCTTTCAATATTTAAAGAGTTTGTTGGAAGATGGTCGTACTAGCAGAATACGTAATGATATTTTTTCTTTCTATAGTGATTGTCAATACATCGTTTTTACATTTAAAGAGACTTTTAAAGCAGAATATGTAATTATATATATGGGTAACCAGCTAAGTGATAAGTGTTTTTCTAAGTAAATTCATGGGATTATTCATTCTGTCAACTACTTTTAGGATATTAAGTAGTATAAGTAAATGAATTGTTATTTTTGTATGTAGATATTTCTACAAAGTAACAGAAATCTATACGCAATGAATAACTGATGGATTAATTTCCTTTCTTTGTATTAATAAAATTGGTATTGCTCTATCAAATTTCATTTACAAGATTCAGTAAAGGATAGTATGCTTGTAACTTAGTAGAATTTTATATTATTCATAAACCATTATCAGAATGTACTTAGCAAATACTCTTAACTTAATTGAAAATAAATATTGGGTAACGGTTGAAATCTAAATAGATAACAGATTTCAGACCAAGACATCTAAGATTTATGATTATCTAAAGGAGTTTATTTAGATGGATACATCCTCTCATCTTCCTTAGTCATTTGTATGACCAGAGTTCGAAAAATCCCCTATTATTATTATTATTATTATTATTATTATTATTATTATTATTATTTGTATATGACTTACGTTTTGTTCAAACTAGTATTCTGATTAGCTTGACCATTTTCAATAGCTGTTCGAAAATCTTTACTAAATAAACTGAATGGCTTTTTAAATGTGACTAAAAAGAAAAACAAAACCAAATAAACAAGCAATTAGGAAATAAATAAAAAACTGAAAGTTTAATGTATATCATATAATTTAAACAAACAAAATATTTGGACTTAGTAGCTGAGTGGATAACTCGATGGTGTTTGAATCGAATGGTGGTGGGCTCGAGTCTCACAGTGAACATCAGCTATGAGATGCAGGTACATCCATCTGACGAGTCCCAAATAGGACGGAACGCGCGTCCTGGATTTCATTGCTAGCCACTATCCATGATTGATAACAACATATTTATTTAAAACAAATAGTCCCTTTGATAAATTTCGATAATGCAATGAGAAGACGAAGTTTATCAGAATTATATGATCTATTTGTGCAATGCATTTCGAACAATCTGATCACACATATACTTGCTAAGACTTTTATATGAAAATTAAAAGGTCAACTAGACTGGTTAAAGAAACACACAAAACAATCTGATTACCACTCTGGATAATAAAACAGTATTACCAGGGTAGGTTGATTATAAGGAGGGGGGTTTCAATTTCCGTATAGCTAAGGCTTCAATAAACCTTAGTATACATCCTTGAAGGCTTTTGTACAACACTACAAATACTGACTTGATGTCAATCTTATGACCAGTCTCAATCAAATGTATTCGCAATAGAGGATGATGTTTGTCTATCCTGTGATCTTTTTTTAGACCATTGGAATCCATTTGTTTCTCAAGCCATTTTGTTATGTGTTCATTCACCAATTATTTCATTATTTGAAATTTAATATTATCATTTAATATTATTATTGCATTGTTCCGTTGTACTATTTAAACTTGGATTAATTTTAATTTGGTTATTTATTCTCTGAAGAAGTGACTTACACTAAGTCACGAAACGTCAGAAAATCCAATTTTCTACTCATTGGGATATTACAAATATATTATTTTTATTTATCAAATGTTTGTACGACAATCAGTTCAAAGAATCATTAGATAAATTGCTTAAATCATAATCACCTAAGTAAACAAACAATTAAAAAGATTCACTTTTAATCGTCATTAAATCCTTTTGTTTGTCCTATAGATATTAATTATTCAATGTATAGGACATCAGAATGGGTTTTTGTGGAAAGTTTTAGAAATTTTCAGAGGTTGAAATCATGCGTCGATTGAAGCTAGACCACCATGGAAAACCTGGAAGCACTGAACATTCAAATTATAGTATGCGAAATTATTGTTCTATGCATTTCACTATACTTCAGTAATTAAATTTCCTATTTGTACTTTAGTCTAATTTGTAAGTAACCTTTCGATTGTACAATGTTTGAAACTCATGTCTGAACCATGTTTGAACCATCTATTCGTTTATGTAGATTAAAACTTTTTATAGATATAATGGTATAGATAAATAACATTTTATTTAGACAACATTTATAATCTGTCAATGAAATGAATTATATTCTTTCAATTAACAACTATTTACACAGTTGCTTATTTATCATGCTGATGAACAGTTGAACAAGTTTCCTTGTCTAGACTTACAGATTTCAACAAATTATAATGAAAAATATTTATTCTCAGAACATACTACACTAATGTTTCATTCATATAAAGATTTTATCTTTCTAAATGAATTAAGCTAATATTATTGAAGTACATTTTTCAATCACATGTAAACAAATTAGTAAGTACGATTCAATCACTTGTAAACTTAACACATCTCAATAGGAACCTATTAGATAAACAATCTATGGTCAATCATTATACATGTTTATGATATGAAGCAATAAGCATTTATACATTTTTTTAAATAAATTCATTCTATAGTCATTATAGTTTACAAAATGAAATCTTGTTTTAAGTTCATCGTAGTTTTCTTTCTATGTGATGATTATGTAATGAACCTTATTGAATTACTAAAACAAATAGAACATTTGTAAGAGATTTTTTTCATTCTCTCAAACTTTTCTACAGGTTTAAATTTAAATCTCAATAGTTGAAATCATGAGTCAATTGAAGCTAGACCATCATGGAAAACCTGGAAGCACTGGATGGCTGTTTCGTCCTAGTATGGAACGCCTCAGCGGTGCGCATACGCGAACCCGCGTGTGGGACTCGAACCTAGGACCTCCACTTTCGTACTTGAACGCATAACCTCGGAACCACTGAGCCAGCATCCAACGGTGTTGAAGTTACACATTACCAATGGGTTCGGATCCAGTGAGTGGGAGGAGTCCCATAATAGAACAAAACAGACATCCAGTGCTTCAACATTTTCAGTGGTGGTTAAGCTTAAATCGTTGTTTATAATTGTAATCTAGTTTTTTGTTCTATGTATTCATAGTTCCTTTGTTAAACTTACAAACGTGAACGTTTCAGTTATTTCATTATTACATAGTCTTTAATTCCCGCAAAACCTCTAAATCACTTTGAAATTTGAAGACAGCACAGAAAGTTTACAAATAGTTTTTCATGAGTTGAAAATCTTATCAAGTTACTTTTACAACCTAGCTAACTTAAAAAATAGGATCCTCAAACTGTTACTGTCAAAGTTGTTTTAACTAAATTATGTAAACTGTGACTGAGATTTTTATGACTGGTTTCATTCTGACACTACCTTTATTTATTGTGTATCCACTTGAATACAAACAGAGTCCGTGTTTTCTTTACAACGCTCAACAGAATTTCTGATGTTTTACCACAACTACCTATTCAGAAGGCAATTACTTTTGAAAAAAATAAGGAATTATTTGTTAATTTTCACAGTTTGTACATTTATCATAAAATGGTTGTACGTGTTGTTTAAGTGTATAACCTTGAACCTACTTTCTTCCTTTGTGTATCACTCATAACATGACACACGCTGTTAAGTTCTCGTAAATACACTAATATGCACATGTGTCTCATTCTCCATTGCCTGTGGTTATAGTAAATGAACTCTGAAATATCTATTATTTACATTTATAGACTGCAACCACATTTACATTATATTGTACGTCTGACTATATTCCTCGAACAAATAACAACCTCATCGGAATTATTAATTATGTATAATTGTGGATTGTGGTACCAAACGCAACCTGAACACGTACAAACCTGCCGATTTGAGTAACATCCCTCAATTGTTATTTATGCTTACAACTTATAATTGACATATTATCACATTAACATTTGAACGTAATAAGTTTATTGCTATCATTGAGTTAATATATATTTTGGTCCATCACAATAGTATCACAATCTGGAGAAGTGTCACCCATTAGCTTAGTTAAAATACTAATGCGAAAATCTTTAACAATTACAAAGACTTTAACATGGTTATAAAATTAACTATGTGATTGTTTCACAGTGATCTCTACTGCTATCTACTCACTTATTTGGTTAGTTTTTTAATTCTGATAAGTGTAATTAAGAATTTTGTATGTGACAATTAAGTAATTAGTAGAACTATCATAGTTTGTTATATTTAATATGATTACTAAAATGGGTCTATTTTTAGAATTATGCCAAAATAAATGATGTTAACTTTAATAAACTAACATTTTTCTGTAAAAATTTCCCAATGAGTCCAGTTTGTTTAAGCTTTGAAGCATAGAGTTACAAGTTGATTTGTGAAATTCTGATCTAAACTCTTAAGATTTTAACAATAAGATAATATTGCTCGATCATAAAAAATGATATTTACGATTATATATATTTATACGGTTGTATAAGATAAGCTAAATAAAAGCTCATATGTTTTAGTTCTTCATATGATCAATGACGTAAATATGTGTTTATAACAACAAAACTGTTGGGATATTCAGAAAAATATCCCAAAAACTATCTTGTTAAGTCTAATGCTATCCTTGGACTTGAAATGGCATCATTTTTCTAGTGGTTTATTTTTATTTCACGTGTCATTTCCCTGTTAACCAAATATTGTACAAATGTTATTTTCTATTTTATGGTACGTTGTGGTCTGTTTGATTGGTATATAAACTCAATATATTTGAAATATAATGATTCATATTGCAGAGACTGAGACTTATGTTCTGGACTTAACTGGTTGGGCTAGGCGGAAAGCAGAGCCAATCAGGACTCTAGGCAGCTCGCACGTGTTTTACGCGTCCTTGGTCCGATAGATAATTCACTGCCCTCTAATCGACGCTCACAAGTTATAACAAAAACTAAAAACAATTTCTATTCATATATATTGATAAGAGATTCAACAATTTCATTGAAATATGTTTATCAGTTATAAGCAATATATTATCGGAGATAAAAAAAATAGTCAGTTGTTTCATAACTCCGCAAATTTTTCAATGTATTCAAAATTAATAAACGAATTAATCAGAAGATATGATATCAATGTACTGTGAGTTAAGATTATAGGAAAAATTTCAAAGTGTTATGTATAGAGAATGTGGATGTAATGCATAGTTGAAATACTATTAGAAATGAATCTTCACAAGATCATTAACATGTACTTTGTACTTTTGAAGTACAAAGTATTTTTACAAGACTAGCAGGATCCTAAACATACACTCACTGTGAGTAGTTAGCGGGTAGAAATAATCGAGAAATTCGTGTATCTGGGTAGCTCCATAAATGCTGCTCATGACGTGAGTGATGAAATCAATTCACATATAGTGAAAGCTAGAGCCGTTTATGTCTATCTAGGCCATCTTTGACGCATTCGTGATGTTAGTCTATCTGTAAAAAGTCGGATTTAGAATGAGTCAGTGAGAGCATTTTTGCTCTATGCTTATCAGACCTGATCTCTCAGAGTTGAGGATGTTAAACGACTTTCCATGTTTGATCATCCTTGTCTCCGAAGGATTGCTGACATTCAGTGGCAACATCATGTTAGTAATGAGAAGGTTCGGCATCGTGTGTTCGAGCACAGAGACAATAATTCGATTGGTGTAACTATCTTGAAACATAGACTTCGGTGACTTGGATATGTCCTGCGAATGTCGTCCCAGAGAATTCCACGTGGTGCATTATTTGCCGACGCAGAGACCGGTTAAAAAAGGGAGAGGTAGTCAGCGCATGACATGGTGTTGTAGTATGGAAGAAGGTTGTACACGATTGGCCTGTGTTGGTCCTTCACAAATCTTCGGTTAGAGTCCTAGAGATGGTGTAACACGATAGCTAGGGTCATTATCAGAAATGGCTCAAGATAGAAGTCGGCGGTGGTCCTGCTACAACTTTCTTTTACTTTCTTCATAAAAAAAGGACGTACCTTCCTTAACTGGAAAAATTCTTTCTGGTTGCATCTTTGCTAACTTAACTCTCCCTTTAATTATTATTATTATTATCACTGATCATCTTACTTAGATTTAGTGTCTGAAATTACCAATTAGGTTGAATGGAATAATCTAGACCTTATAAACAAGAATATCCAAGTAGCCTGACCCTACATTGACATCATGAATTCAACCAACTTAATTTCAGTTTTAACTTTCATTTATTTACTATATTTTTCATTTGTTATTTTCTAATTACTCAATATAATAAAAAAACAAAAAAATTAATAACCAAACAAACTGTATTATAAATTATTGAAATAATTTTAAAAATAAATAAATAAACTTAATCAAAACAAAATTACTTCACTGGTTGAAATCATGAATCAATTGAAGCTAAACTATCAGGGAAAGCCTGGAAGCACTGGACGGCCCTTTCGTTTTAATATGGAACTTCCCGCCAGTGAGCACCCACGATCCCTCTTCGCGAGATTCGAATCCAGGATCTATCAGTCTCTCGCGAGTAGGCTTAACCCCTAGGCCACTAAGCCAGCATCCAACGGTTTTAATGTCTAAATTCAACTGATTGACGAAGTTGAGCCATCGTCCACCATTGTGTTCAGTGAGTTACTATCTCGCAAGAGACCCAGTTGAACTCCACTAGTCACTGCTTTTCACTGGAAATCCAGAAAATACCTCTTGAAGCCAGCGCACCGACGAGGAGTCCCGTACTAGGACGAAACAGCCGTCCAGTGCTTCCAGGTTTTCCATGATGGTCTAGCTTCAATTGACTCATGATTTCAACTAGTGAAATTTCTAAGATCTCCACAAAGCCCCTTCTGACAAAATTATCCACCCTAAAAACAAAATATTAATAATTTCACTCAAATCTTTATTATTTATTAGTGAAATAATTCACATTTTAATTGTAGAGGGGTGTTGTGAAGATTATAATAATTTAATTACTATGGAAAACCTGGAACTATTAAATGATCATTTCATTTATTTGTTTATTCATAGTAAATGAATGTTTTGTTTTGTTTTGTTTTATTAAATACTTGTAACTCACTGATGACAATGGTGGATGTGTCGCTCAATTTCGTGGATTAGTTGAAGTTAGACATTAACACCGATGGATGCCGCCTAGCTCAGTGGTCTAGTCGGTTATGCGCTTGGCGCGAGACTGATAGGTCCTGGGTTCGAATCTCGCAGAGGGCGAGGTCGTGGATGTGAACTGATGAGGAGTTCCACAATAGGACGAAACGGCCGTCCAGTGCTTCCAGGTTTTGCATGGTGGTCTAGCTTCAATTGACTCATGATCTCAACTATTGAGATTACTACAATCCCCACAAAATCCCTTCTGATAATAATGTCATGTATAATGCAAAATAAATTTAGTTAAATTAACTTTTAGGAAAAAAAATTAACTTACAAAAAAATCTATCCATGATTGTCGATCCATTTTTATTATCAGTAATTTAAATAATCAATTTATATAAATCAATATCCATCCAATATGATTTGATTAATAATCAATAAATAGTGTTGTCATGATAATGATTGATCATTATTTGAATGATATTGGAACATTCATATATTAACCATAGATTTGATTAGAATAATGATAGTTGTGTTTTATAGCATGAACAAAAAGTAAATATAAACAAGTAAATAATAAGCAAAAATAAAATTAGGATTTTTTTTTAAAAGAATTCTATTTTTTATAAATAGTTAAGAATTCATTAAAATGTATATTACTGAATAATTAAAAAGTAGTTCTTGGTGGAGTTTTGTTCTCTGAGCTGGATGTTTCGGTCGTGGAGCTTTCATCGTTCTTCTGAACGACATCATCAGCACAAACTTCAGATAGAAGTGAAGTGATCGAATTTCTTCATATGTGTTTTACAACTTGTTCTGTGCATCTGTTCTCCACCATCTCTATTAAAAGTAGTTCATTTCGCAGATGAATATCAATCAAATCACTATTGCAAACTAGCTTGTTCATTTAACTACCTTTATATAAGATTGAAAGAAAACTATTTGAATCTTGAATTAATTATGACTTTTTCAACTTTATTGGTTATGTTTCTTGCTTTATCAAACTCATGTTTTAATTTTCAGAATGAATATGACTTTTGTAAACCACGAAAGTGAAGATATCAATGGATTCGAATAGTGTGAGCTATAGCTACTAAGTGCCTGTGTGGTCACATATACATAGGGAGGAGTAATTGTGACCTAAAAATTAGGGTGTGTGAAAATATGCCTAAACGGTCGCAGAAACAAATACAATCAGAGTAGAGGAAAAACATCCATCATTCTCAATTGCTAAACACATAATCGAAGCAGGCCATAAGACTGATCCTAACTCGGCTTTTGTGATGTCGCAAAAAGGTGTAAAAGGGTGTATACTATGGTTTATTGAAGCCATAGCCAAACGAAAATTCAAAACCTTTTGTGCATTCAAAAACAGTTTCTTCTCACTTTAAACTTACTCTGATAATATTAGCTTATTATCCAGAGTGATTAGGTTTCAAATTGTTAAGACATTGCTTTCTTTATTATCCTTGACTTCTCTTACCCTCTATTTATAGTGTAGCTGACCTTTTATTTTTACATATAAATGTTTTAATAACAAGCATATGTGTAATCTCATCTTTCGAAATATATTCCGCTAATATATCACATGGTTCTGACAATCTTCGTCTTTTTATTACACTATCGAGATAAGGCATTTATTGTATAAAGTCTAACTGTAGAATACAAATTGTTTTCAACATATTTATTTATTTATTTATTTAAACACATAAACGTTGGTACAGGGAGGCACCAAATACATATGCGCTACATAAACCATTCGATTTGTGTGTGGGCTGTGATACTGCCCGGGTGCCCAAACCAAAGCAGGTGGTTTTCTTAGAGGGCCACACTCGGAGCCTTTGACCTAAAGGTCTAATCTACAAGGCAATGGAGCAACGTAAGGAGATGCAATCCCATGATAGACGGTGACCAATAATTGGTTCACACGCCATTCGTTCCTCCAGGATCCCAGAACCCATTCTCCAATCTACACTGTCGTGAACATTTCTTTCTAGTTCTATTCAATTCTTGTTCACTATTTTCATATTTGTGTCCATTTCTCGGCGTAATGTGTTCTTTGATCTTCCTCTTTTCGTTTGGCCTTGAGGATTCCACGTGAGGGCTTGACTTGTGACGCAGTTGGGTGCTTTCCTCAATGTGTGTCCTATCCATTTACGGCGTTTCTTCCTAATTTTTTCCTCCGCTGGGATCTGGTTTGTTCTCTCCCATAGTAGGTTGTTGCTAATGATGTCCGGTCAACGGATCCGAAGTATTTTGCGTAGACAACTGTTAATAAACACCTGTATCTTCTGGATGATGGCTTTCGTAGTTCTTCAGATTTCCGCTCCATGCCGTAGAACTGTCTTGACAGTTGTTTTGAGTTCCAGATGTTCTTCAGTTGTAAATATGCTGCTCTTGCTTTGCTGATCCGCGCCTTCACATCTGCATCAGATCGACCATTTTCATCAATGATGCTGCCCAGATATGTAGCGGTTTTTACATCCTCCAAATCTTCTCCGTCAATTGTGATTGGATTGGTGCATTCTATGTTGTATCGGAGAATCCTGCTTTTCCCTATGTGTATATTGAGATCTACTGCTGCTGAGGCTGCTGCCATACTGTTCGTCTTCTCCTGCATCTGTTGTTGCGTTTGCGATAGGAGGGCCAGATCATCTGCGAAGTCCAGATCGTCCAAATGCATCGTAGATGTCCATTGTATCCCGTGCTTCACTTCAGATGTTGACGTCTCCATGATCCAGTCGATCACCAGAAGAAAGAGAAAAGGTGAGAGTAAGCAACCTTGCATAACACCGGTCTTCACTTCGAACGACTTTGTCAACTGTCCTCCATGCACGATTTTGCAGTGTAATCCATTATATGAACTCTGTATGATATTGACTATCTTCTGAGGCACTCTTGATTGTTTTTATATATAACTCACTTAGAAACTAGACATTAGTTTATTGCTAATCTGTTTATTCAGCGGTAACCATCTACTTTGATTACTCTTTTTTTCTTCTTTCAAATGGATTCATATATGCTGCTCTGAATATTTTGTTTAGATATTATCTGAAGTACTTCTTAGTAAATAATGAAAGAATAGATAGTAATGAATAATTGAAAAGAGGAACATTTACATGACGCATTTCTCTTTTTTTGATTATTTTACTGTTAAAACTATTCATTTAAAGCAAATAATGTATGGTAGTGTTTCAAATTATCTTAAGTCATGTTCATTTGTTCATTTTCATGAAAATTCATACCTTTTTTTCACAGTAAGATTAAATGACATTGACACGATTATTGTCTTTAACTTGATCCTTTGAATATTCATAACAATATCTTGGTAGATTATTTCGAAATAGAAAGAAATGTCCGTTAATTGCTGCTTGGTGATAAGTCATTTTCTATCCAACGATTGTTTAAGATAAAGGTTAACAATAAAGTATGCTTATCTCTCAACAAAATACATTAAGGTTAGTTTATGGATGATTATAAGTTTTGTGAAGAAAAGAGATATCCAGATTTAGGAATTTAGTTTCAAATGTTGTTACAGATTATTAGAGATACGTTGATCAGATACAATCCTATTAGGCCTCGAATGTACCACCATCTAAATCTCAATATATAGTGCCCACAGTGTCGAGTCACCTAGACTGGTGGCCACATTGCAACATGATCGATAGCATTCGATCTGCACTAATAAGGACTAGACAAGCATGACATTGATCACCACCCAGTGATTAATCAAATATGATTACATCTCAGTCCTACAGGAGGTCAGTCGCAGCTCGGATAGCTTAGTGGTAACGTCTCTGACTGCGGAGCTGGGTGACACGAGATCTGATCCGCCAGGGAGCACTAGTTCCCTCAAGATTACAGGTACACCTTGCTGACGAGTGCCAAGTAGCACGAAACACGGGTCCAGGGCTTCCTGTTGACTACCTCCAACCACCGTCTAAATCTCCAGTAATTCCCAGAATTGATCTTAGTATATTTATATATATTAATGACGCTACGTCATATGGCTTAAAATTAATTGAATATTTTTCTTGACATGAATGGTTGTTTTCATGAGAATTTTTTTTTAAAAAAATAAAATAAAATTAGATTACCAAAAAAAAATTTTTTTACAAATGAATCATACATCACGAATTTGTTGTGATTATTTTCTTCCTCTTTTTTTTCTTCTTTTTTTTGTTTGTTTGTTTGTCTGATGAGAAAACTAATCCAGTTCAAGTTTCTACTTCAAATCAGGTAACATTTAAATTAAATTTACTACTTGAATAAAGTTAGAATATAAGTAGTATTTGTTTTTACAAAACAAAAAAATAAAAAAAAAACAAAAAAACAAAAACAAAACTATAATTTTGTGTAAATGAAGAGAAAAAAAAGAAAAGAAATTAGCTTATATATATATATATATGTTCGTGTAGTATTTTTATTTTTGTTTTGTAATAAAACATGAAAATGGACTAAAAAAAAGGGTATGAACATTTTATAATGAAAATATATGTTCAATGAATTTTTATCTTCGTCAAAGCCTGATCTATTGATGAATTGAAATATTTAAACTAAGAGTCTGTAGAGATTGTTGTAATTTTAATCATAGAATGTATAAGTTAATTTAAGTTAAACAAAACCTGGAAATACTGGACGATTGTTTCGTTCTGATATGGAAAGCTTCAGTAATGTGCATACATGATTTCATATGCGTGACTCGAACCTAAGACTTTTGGTCTCGTGCGTGAATAATTGAGCTGTAGATCAATGAGCTGTGACCAGTGGAGTTCAATCTGTGTTGGGTGAAAATAATTATCTATTTCAGTGGCCTAGAGGTTAAGCGTTTGTACATGATACTGAAGGTCCTGGTTCTGAGTCCCTTTTATTAATGACGTGGTTCAGTCAGTTGAAGTTTTTTCTTATATATAATAATAAGTCAACCCATTTTACAGAAAGTTAGTGAGTTAATGCAAAGTTTCTGATTTATTCTGGTTTTAAAATAAGTTTTCCTTCATTTCCATAACAGTTACTCTATGTTCCAGTTATCTTCAATGCTTCATTTTAATCATGATGTCAACTATTGAATATAAGTTTTCTTAATACGAATATTCGTCAAGATTAAAACGAATAGTTTAACGAAAATTCGGCACCAAGTATAGAGAAGACATTATACGTGAAAATTACATTTGAAATAATCCCAGCGATTGAAGAAGTTTAGACAAGTTAGCTGGACGAAACGTTGGAATTGTTTTAATTTCAATCGCTGAGATTATTTCATTTATAACTTACACATATTTTTTCTTTAGTTTTTTATTTCTTTCATATCGATCATTTAAAATTCCAATAATACTTATCATTTATACAAAGAAATCAGTAGAAGAAAAGATGAGTCTCATAACGAAACTAGCAATTAAGTGTTCACTTGAACTGTGTATATTTCAGTTACCTTGTTTTCTATTCAGTCTAGTACAAATAAGGGTTAATGAATTATGTTTCATATAGTAGACTATACTTCCACAGAAAACACTATGAAAACCAAGGTAAAACTGTCAAATAAAGCATCAGTTACTATGTAGTTTATTTTCTATTATCTTCTCTGTAAAAATACATATTATTTATCTGACCTAATGAATTAAACTCTTTCCTTAAATATGGATGATAAATGAACAAATCCTTGATTATTATTTTTTGCTTGAATTCATTGGATTTGATCTTTCCATCATGTTAAAATATTTCCTTAAAAGAGATGTGTGAAACTGAATTGAATTTGTCAAAGAGAATTACAGTTAAATATAAAGCTTGCTGACGAGTGCCGTTTAGTACGAAATCTGGGTCCAGGGCTATCTGTTGACTACCTGCAACTATCCAGAATATTGATTTATAAGATAGGGATCATGATATTTTACTTCTTACTGTGTCGTATTAATATAGTCTGATAGGATTTCATGATAAGTTTATTCTTTTTTAACATTAAAAATAAATCTGTTCATGTGAAATATAATTTCACACATTTTAATGATAAATCTTGGTGTACTTATTGCACAGTGAATATTTCAATCCAATATTTCTATTAAAGTAATTAATTTGTAATGTAGGTTACTATGTTAATCCTACATAACTTGTTCTAGCTTCTAGAAAGGCCAATTTATCCATTCTTCTTGAGCCACGTTTTGACCTTGTTAATTATTCACTTATCAACTATGACCGTTCTTATGTAAGCGTATGTGCGTGCATATATTATCTTACTCATCATATGTCCGTAGCTTATTTTTGTGTGACTATAAATATTGATTAACGCTTGATTAAACTGTTTTGGATCACTCGCCTTCTCCACTGCGCGTCATTTCGTTTTTCTCTCTTCCCTTTGCTTCCTTCGCTTCATTCCTCTGATTGTCTATGCAGATCAATGAGTGTACAAAATATACACATTCAAAAATCTATTCTCGTATTTGACTTATTTAATTCCGTTATTCATCAACGTGATTTAAGTCAATAATTATAACAAGAATAGTCATGATGTATATTTCAACAGCAATCATTCAATAACGATCATTTGTACGATCTAACTCCAGTTAGATCCTGGGCCATTAGAAATCTCTGTTGAAGGATAAAATACTATCTATTGGATAATTATGTTTATTACTTCTATTTACTATCACCTCGTGTTTATTAATTCATCTTTTTTTCATATATTCATTTTACTATTCTTAAAATGTTAATTTTGGACTAAACTACCCATAAAACTACGATTTCACTCACAGAGGGAGAGAGAAAGAGATAGGAAGAAAGAAATAATCTACTGTAAACACTATAAACAATATGAAAAAGCTTTTAGTTAATAAAAGGAGACATTATGTCTATAATGTGCTTTTAGGATTTTACAAATTACATTTCCATTGCGTAAAGATTAATTATTATTATCACTATTATTACTATTTTTATTTATCATATAAATAAGATAAACATGTGATTTACATACGTTATGGATCTTAATTATTGAAGATTCTTGTTGAATATTTCGCAATCCACAATTAGTATTATCTAATTTGATAAATATAATTATTTACACAACGTTATAGAAGAAGGAAAAAAAGTAAGATGCTGAAATGTTGAATGTATCTATAGGCTGAATTTGATGTAGGTTGTAAGTAAATAATCTTCTAATATGAGTTCGGTAACTTTTGTTGTTCTAATATAATACAAATCATGCGGATCTTTTCATCTAGATAGAGTTTGCCGTTTGAATTTAAGAGAATATACATTCTAATAGTTTAAAACATAGTGTTTGAATCAGATTTGTAATATCGTTGCTGAATATTTATAAGAATTCTCGTCTGAACAACCATATACTTTGGTATGAAATTCTGAATTTTTTTTATGCGAAATCATTAACTGTGGACTTCAGTTATATTAACGGTAAAATATTTGTTACCTGTAAAGCTAAATCATCATTAAGCCATATCTCGTATTGATTAACGTTGGAAATGTGTACATTTCGATGCCATTGTATATGGTTCTAGTGGTTGGGCGTTTAATTCAAAATATGTAAGTTGTCAATTTAATTCCTGTCATACTGCTGAGTAATCAAGCACTAGAATGAAACAGTTGTTCGGTACTGCCTGCTTTCTAATGGTAGCCTTACCGAGATCACTCCCTGAGAAATACGTTTTATTGGTTTTATGAGTTCGTTTGTAGAAATTCATTCATTTTTTGACATTATGCATTTGGATGTTTAATACGTAACAGCTGATGTTTTTTTACCTTTTGTACATATGAACAGTTATTCGAATTAGTAACAAACCAGTTGGAAAGTATGTTATTTTACAGGTAACATCACATTCCAAACAAACGTTCATTACACATATCAATTTACGACCACACAAATAATATATCTAAATGTGCTTCATTACTTAATTATTATATAATTATATATTTGAATCAAAACTAATCGTCAATCTTTCCATCTATTTATCTACTAATCTATATAACTATTAATATAAAGTTAAAAACATTGCATTAAGGTTTCCTAAATATGTTTGATCTGCGTCAATTTTAAGCTGGAAAATACAAAATATAACTTTTAAGACTTATATTATCATTCACTTGGTGTTGTTTACTTGTATCTTCCCATTGTTATTTAGAACTGCGATTGATTAGTCTCTTGTTGGCATATGTGCATTCTATGGGGATTGCCTCGAGTAGGCCTTAAGCCACAAGCTGTTTAAGTAAAAATGGATAGCGGCTAGTGGTGGTTATATTGAGGCGGTCCGCACAGGATGCACATACGCCAGCTAAACTGATCAATTAAAATCCTAAATAACAATTGGAAGATACAAGTAACACAACACCAAGTGAATTTAAACTTTACCCCATTGCACAAGCAGGTGGCTCTCAGGACTCAGTAGCTAAGTGGATAACGCGATGGCGTTTGAAGCGAACGGTACTGGTTTTGAGTCTCAGAGTGCACATCAACTCCGAAATGCAAGTGCAACCAACTGACGAGTCGCAAATAGGAAGAAACGCTCGTCCTATATTTCACTGCTAGCCACTAGCTATCTTTGCTTATACTATCATCATATAATGTTCCCCTGTCATTAATTGGTCAAGAAGTTGACAAATTATCGATTTTCATAACCAAAATATAATTGTTATAAGAATTTTAAAAATGATCTAAAGAACTTAGATCATATTTTTTAGTCAACTTAATTAGTAAACAAGGAATGGAGTAATAATTTTCAAAAGTTCGAACGAAGATATTTTAATAAAGTTATGTCTTATTTAGATAATCAGCCATTTCGGAAATTTTATTTCTTGCTAAGTAATGAGTATAAATACTAGTAAACAAAATGAATTTCCACCTGAAGTTTGTGCTGGTGATGTTGTTCAGAAGTACACATCCACGATCTCGCCCAATGAGATTCAGACCCAGGACCTAACAATCTCGCGCATGTACGCTTAAACTTTAGGCCACAAATATAGTAAATCTTATATTATAACAATTCAACAATTAATGTCTACTTTGAGGATAATGATGTTATATTAATCAAATCTACTACACTCAGATGATTTTGAAATGGTGAAGATCTGTAGCTCAGGTGAACGATTTTGATGGAGATTTGTTCTCTGAGCTGGACGGTTTGATTGTGGAACTTCCATCGTTCTTCTGAACGACATCATCAGCACAAACTTCAGGCAGATATAGTTCCAATTTGTGAAATATTTGACATTTTTATGTTAATTTTGATAATTTTTTAAATAATAAACCATGTTTGCTTGTGGTAATTAGTTTAATTAATATAATTAATTTTTCTCAAAAACTCTCATTAGATGAGAACTAATGGTAACCAAGGTGCATTTGTTAGTTGTTTTGTACTAAGGTCTCTTGCCTTGTTTTAGTTATCTGAGGTTAATTAGTGAAAAAATCTACTTTTAAATAAAAGTGATCTTGACAGACATATTAATAGAAACAGCTGTATGGTAATGTCTCAAAATGTGCAATTAGTTGCTATGACTTCAAATCGCTGTGAGAACATCAGTTCATCTCTGGTTTCACGTATGCCTTAGTGATGAGTGCCAGCTGGTAAAAAGCCCTACATGCAGGTTTCCTGGTGAGTAATTCTAACCATCCTAATGTCTTCATATTCCAGTTAAAAACCGTGATCACTGTAGATAAATATAATATAGGAACTAATAGTTTGATGAGCTGCTTAACTTTGATTTGTACCACGCAACGTTCGTACATTGTACCACCTTGTGTTAGTTATTACAGACGTACCGCATAAGTTTGATTTCATGTATTTAAAAAGTGTAGGTGTTTTCAGGTTTAATTTTTTTGTCAATTTTTATAGATCATGGGAATGTTCATTTAAGTGCAATTTTTTGACTCATATTTTAACCATTTTGCGCAAGCTAGTGGTTATATGAACTCACTAGCTAAATGGATAGTGAGATGGCATTTGAATTAAACGGTACTTGTTTCGAGTCCCTGAGTTAATACCAACTCTGAGACGCAAGCACATCCCGCTGATGAGTCCCAAATAGGACGAAATGCACGTCCCGAATTTCACTACAAACCAACATCTATCTCTGCCCACAATTTTTTTGGGTTAAGTTTGTCAGAACACTTGAAAATATGATTATCACCGTACCCTTAGATTTGAAAACCTACATCATAAATCACGTCTACACACACAAGCAAACATATCTATTCGCCATCCATACAAATGATGACAATATTCACGGATTCAAGTACGTAAAATTGATTTAACCAGAAAAAAACTACTAATCAACAAAGAACTGACCTTTTACTGGCAAAATTATTAGTAACTCGTGTAGTCTGTTTTCTTGTACTGTTATTATTATTATTATTATTATTATTATCCATAGTTGTAGTCGTGGTAGTAGTGGTTGTAGTTGCTGAACCGGAACTATGTGTTGTAGTCACAGTTCTTGTTGTTATAGTTCTTGCAAATTCACAATCATTCTTTTTCATTGACGTATTATTATTTTCAGTACTAATCATTTCATTTTCGTATGCATCTTGTCTATTTGATTCGTTGAAAGTCGTTTTATTTTTTTCATTTATACTTGACAAACTAAACGATTGATGACAATCTTTTAACCTTTTTATATTGTTACTAATTTCGGAGGTAACTTCACTGGCGGATCTAAGAATAGCAAACAAGGAATTCATGTGAATCAATGTAGCGGGATTGATTTGTTGAGAAATAAACAAATTAATACTGAAAATCTACTTTAACATCGAAACACTTTTGATGAAACAATCTAGTTTTATGGATATAGAAGTTAAGCTCTGTATTTGATTCATAGATAACTATCAGTATGGAATTGGGGAGATTGTTGAGTTATTGATCGAGATCATGAATCAATCAATGTTAGACCACCACGGAAAGCCTAGATACACTAGACGGCCGTTTCGTCCTAGTATCAAACTCCTCAGCAATGCGCATCAACGATAACTCTCTATCCAGTTACATCTATAACCGATTAATAACTGAGTCAGTGTCGTGTCTGTCTCATCCTTTTCGTGGTGATGAAATTACATCCACCAATATTCAGTAACGTCAATAGTCTAGGTGATTAAACAAAGTATACAATATTCTGAGATGTTAGGAGGCTGGCAGTGATCATCAAGAAATTGTAGACCTGGATTTCGTACTATCTGAGAACGAAATCATCACTACAGTCCTCCAATCCGCATACAGGGGGTTATTAGCATTATCCAATCGGGAAGCTACACGTAGAAATTCTAGAATATTGGATGGAACGTCTTCGGCTCCTTCTGAGCGTCTAACAGCTTCCTCGAGTTCACCCGTGGTCCGTCATCACAGAGGCATAGGCCGCCGATCAGAATACTCCAACCATGATCAATCTTAAATCCTCTTAGCAGACAACATATTTATTGCGTCTTGTAATATTTAACATTATTTCTAAATTCAATATCTTACTTGACAAGAAATTAAAATACTTTATTCTTGAAGGGTTCTATGTATACCGACTGTTATTCTATACAAACTCGTTTACAATAGGTTTAATTGTATTTAAATGACTCTACTTGATGAAGATTTATAGCCTTTGAATTAACAAAATCAATAATAATGAATATGATTTATCCTATCTAGTGTTTCTTCAGTCACTATCTACTGATAAAAAATTAGTTTACAAAATGTGCATTTATTACAAAAATGTTAATAAATCTTTAGTTACTTACTCATTACTTGTAAAAATATTTGGATTCATAACTTCACTACCAGTTGCATAAAATGTAGCAGTAGCTGCTGTTGCACTTACTGTCTTCTTCATAGTTGTCTTTGTAAGAGCTTGTTGGGATGTTACACTATCAGGAGATTGCTTTAATTGTGCCATAGTATCTGGATCTATATCACTAATAGGTTTTACATTTTCTTGATAAATCACTTCAGTTTGTGGTGGAATAATAGCTAATGTCGCTTGCGCAAGCGAATTACCATCTGATTTTTCAGAGTTATACTTTGTAAAATTAATGATATTTGACATTTCTGGATGATTCTTTGAGTAGGATGATGACTGATTGGATTCTGAATTGGTTGACAAATTTTTTAGTTTAACTTTACGTATTCTTGCTGTTGTCAGAACGGTACGTGTTGTTTTTTTCGTGGTGCGCTTTAAACTACCATCTGGATTTGTAGTAGTGGTAACTATAGTATTAACTATTTGAGTTGGTGGCATTGCTGAAGTAATGATTTCTTCCCCTTCTTCAATAGTATCATCATCACTTTCATCAATATATGCACTAGTATAATTGAATTCCTCTTTTGATTTATTCTCGGATGTGTCAGTTGCAATATTCTTTTCAAGTGACTGGTTTGATTCAAAATCTTAATTAATCAACAGAAAAAATAAGCAATAAATGAAGTACAGATATTCAGTAATTAAATAATATATCAATAGTACCCACTTGTATGAAAATTTAAGTTTTTTAAACTCATTAATTGACTAGAGTGATTATATGAAGTCGACATATAAAAAACCTCTTCTGATATTAATCAACATATGCTCAATAGTCGCTGGCTTCAGGAGTTATTTCCTGGAGTTCTAGTGAGAAGCAGTGATGAGTGGACTTCATCCAGGTCTCTTGTGAGATTAGTTGAAGCTAGATATTAACACCGTCGGATGCCGGTCGGCTCAATGGCCTAGAGGTTAAGCGTTCGCGCGCGAGACTGATAGGTCCTGTGTTGGAATCTAGCGAGGCGGGATCGTGGATGCACACTACTGAGGAGTTCCACAACGACCGTCCAATGTTTCCAGGTTTTTCATGATGGTCTAGCTTCAATTGACTCATGATCTCAACTATTGAAATTACTATAATATCTACAAAATCCCCTTCTGGTATAAAAATCTATCATTTCTATAGACAAGATTGAATTGGAAATAATACTTGTATGTATATTAAACGTTTTCAGTTGACCTTTCAATACTTTTGTTGTTGATACTTTAGTAAAACTTGTTATTCATACATCTATAAGATAATAAAGTTGTATATAACTGTATAATACCTAACAACTTACAAAGTTGATCTTACTGAATCAATGGTACAACGTTATAGTTATTTTCCTAGATAATTAGCAAATTAATACTGTGTAATTAATCGTTCAATCATAATCAGATAATCCGTAAACTTTTATTTATGTATCAGATTACGAAAGTGAATTACATAAGACAATCACCTAAGAAATACTTTACCACTCTGTGTAGTTAATTAAATTTGTTAGAAAGAATCCTTATTAAATATCCTAACTGTTCTAGAAACGGTTTCAGAATAAATGAAATATCATCGTTCTTATCACATTTCTATTATGAAGGATTAAGTAAAGCTTCATATCCGTACTAACTGTCTTGCGAATTCTATTCTACCATTACTTACATTTATAATAATTAGTGAGTTTATTAAGTTTAGTCTTAACTGAGAGATGGAGAAGATTTGTAGCTCAGATGGATGATTTTGATGGAGTTTTATTCTCTAAGCTGGATGATTTGGTCGTGGAGCTTTCATCGTTCTTCTGAACGACATCATCAAGCCAAACTTCAGATAGAAGTGAAGTGTTCGAATTTCTCCATATGCGTTTCACAACTTTTTCTGTACACCTTGACGCTAATTGGTTCTTATTGACCTTAAATTTGTCACTGTTTACTACTTTGATGTCGTTCAGATGAACGATGTAAGCTCCACGACCAAACCATCCAGCTCAGAGAACAAATCTCCATCAAAGTCTTAACTGTTTTAACATAGTTTACATCCTTGACCTTATTCACGGTCAAATCCAAGACCTTCAAACTACAGAGTAAACATGTTAACATTAAGACTAACTGATTAAAATCTAACAAGTCACTTCCCCAAATTCGATCGGTAATTTTGATAGCTATTTAAGTATTTATAACCAGTAACTGAATTTGAATTCCTTGAATATTAATATGTTCCTTCATTTATAAAAATAGAAATGAGACAAGAATTATACTACAGTTGAAGATGTTACGTAATAATATATCATCATTAATTTGATCATAAATCATGAAAATACCTACTGGATGAACACAATATATTTATGCTTAACAGCTTATATTAAATCATTTTGTTTATTGCGTTTAACAAGCACAAAGTGTGGTAACTTTTCAAAGAGGTAAATGAAAATACATAAAAATTGGTCATAAAACTTTAAATTATTTAGATCACAAAACCAAATACGTTATTATGAATTACTGTAAAGATCTCACTTTCTTTAAGTGTAAAATATACCCTGACAATCTATATGTAAACTTAAATTATTGTTGACAAAAATTACTTTCAGGAGTATGAACAAAAATGAATGGTGGTTAACAGTGGAATCCAGGACATGAGTTTCTTCTTATTCAGGGGCTCATCATCTGGATGTACCTTCATTCCAAGAGTTGGCATTCACTCTGGGACTCAAACATCATCACGTTATCCACTTAGCTACTGAGTCTTGATAGCTACGAAGCGCGCGTTCTGTATTCCACTGTTAGCCATCATCCATCTTTGCTAATAAAGCTTGTAACTTAAGGTAATATAAAGGCAATCCGTACAGAATGCTCATATTGCCAACAAAAGACTGATCAATTGTAGTCCTTAATAACAAAGGAAAGATACAAGCAAACAATACTTTCAAGATTGATTTTTTGATAGTAAATGATTGACAAGCATTAATAACATATTTAAGAAAATTTGTAACTCGTTATACTCCCTGCATTTGGTTTTTTTTCTCAATATGATGAACTCATATTTTAAGGCAACATGAACAGCATAAAAGTTTTGTATTTACATCTTGTTTATTCAATATATTTAGGTATCAAATATCCATTTAGTCAAAAAAGTTTGCTTACAAACTAGTTTGTTCACTTATGAAATCATTGAAGTCATTAATTAACTCTCCATTCAAGAGGAAGCAACTAATATATATTTAAGTTTAGAACCAACTGAAGCTTGGAAGATCTAGGTAATCAGCTTGATAAATATATACAAAAACCTGTTTTGAATCATTATATAGTTTAATGTAATATCTTTTAAAAATAATGTTTATAAATTAGGGATTTCCTTTAAACAAACACCTTTAAAATGACTCTTTGAAAGTTTTAATCAGTAGTCATATTCAATAATAACATTAAAGTGTGTATCCTCACTATCCTGGATTAAGTGAGCCTTCAGAATGTAGACTATTGAATCAACTGTATGAGACATAATAGTTATAGGGATCATTTTATTAATAAAATTATTTGACTATACGTTATAAGCAAAGATAGATAGGGAATAGCAGTGGAATACAGGACGCCCGTTTCGGCCTATTCGGGACTCGTCATCCGGATGTACCTGCATCTCAGTTGATGATCACTCTCGGACTCGAACCTATATATATATATATATATATATATATATATATATATATATATATATATATGGGTTAATATGGGTACATATGCCAATAAAAGACTGATCAACTGCAGTTCTAAACATCAATGGGAGGACTCAAGTAAAACAATACCAAGTGAATTAATATGACTATATGTTACTTTATTCTATAAAACCAGGACAAATCCCCTTTCAGTAAGTCTACTTCATTAGTACTAAAGAAATCTATTTTATCACTAATGTAATACAGTCACTTTTGTAAAACATTTGGAAGCCATATGATGGTTTTTTTTATAGTTTACCTGATTTAAATCAATTTTCTTTTCTTTCTCCTATTTTTTCTTTACTTTTTAAGTTTTGGATAAATGAAACATTGACATTTTACTATGATATTTAATTAGGTTACAATGACAAGTTGGCGACTAAGGTGAATAGAGGAAAACAAATATGTTTTATATATGATAGAAAGAACATTCGAAAAATACATTAAAATTGAGTTTTGAAATGTGGTTTGAATTTAGAAAAAAACACAGTATGTTACATGTGTAAATATATATACAAAATAGTAACCTTTCTGTATCATCAAATAGAATGTAACTGAGGTAATCAGTTCATGTTTTCAGTGAAACTCGATCATTTCCATAAGCTTATACTAGATATACAAGGAGATCATGATTATTATTGATAAAATAATGATTCAATCTAGTGTACAGGCATCTTAAATCAATGAAATCTCTATTTCTGTACCTGTTAATACTAGGCTTTAATAAAAATGATATACATTTTAAAACAAACATCTCAATTCCTTTTTATTTTTAGATGTATTTGTGTTTTTTTGACAATACAACCGAAAGAACAACATTGATATGACAATATTATCAAAACATAATGATGACATTTAAATCTACAAAGATGACATAACTGCATGTCATGAAAAAGAAAACAGTAGGTCATTATAATGGAGTTGATGTATTCCGTCAAGTAGGTAAACATTGCTGTCTTTATGGTTCTTACAGGACCATAAGAAAAGTATTATTAAAGGAGTTAAATAGAAAAATAAATAAGAGGGAATGGAATATTTACAACAAATCTGAAGAAAAGCCAGTTATTAGTAGTATTTACTGTTGATTTTCCTAAAGCTGATTATCATTTACAATATTATGAATATAAAACTGGTACGTTTATGAAAATATGAATATTCTTCATTTTAACTTGTAAAACTATTTTGTCCCTATGGAAATTTTACTAAAAATATATAGATATTTTTCCATATGGCAAAATTCTGCAGGGTGATCGAAGAATTATCATAGAATTGTTTATCTTACATTAGTGAATTCGAAGAATAATTTTAAGAATGCAGACATAATTTTTAATTATGAGCTTTCATTTTTGTTCTGAGCATTATCATCAACGCTTGGTTAAAGTAAATGTGAACTGCTTAAATCCATTTCATAATTTATTCACTTGACATTAAACCACGTAGATGGTTAACATTCCCTATATGGAATGCGTAGCTATATATATCGACGAAAACACAGTGACACTTAAAGATTTTTAAAAATGTAGACAAAGCCAATCGGTGACAAATGTCATTGGAATGGATAAATTTAGCTCTTGTAGAATAAACTCAAACAATTATCGTCCAAATGAAGTACGTCCTTATGATGAAGTTTAAAATGTTAGTGAAAGCTATAGTGTGGTGCGTGCTACTTATATGGACGTAAGTAGTATATAACGCGAGTCAGGAATGTAATGTCTGGCAGCAGAAGATTGGGAAGATCAAGAATGGATGAACGGGAATAGAAAGCAATAAGTATAGAAATGCAAGAACAATGAAGTCCGAGACAATTATTGAACATTTTGCAAATTAAGTATTATAGTATGGTTTTTCTATTTTATCAAGTTGTGCTAAATATAATTCGGTTGTCCTCACCTGTGTTCTCTTTCACGACAATA